CCGGTTACCGCCCTACCCGGCCACGCGGTACCGCCACGGCGCGCTTCGCGCGCCGTGCCCGTACCCACGAGGACTGCCCCATCGTCGCGGCTTCATGATGCACGAGGGATTGAAGTAGGGAAAATGTGATGGTGGCGGAAGAAGGAGAGGCCGGAGGTTGGTTCGGATTCCCGCGCTTTTTGATCTTCGTAGCCCGAGCGCATCATGGGCACTTTCCTGGCTTGTCTCGCACCACGACCAAGGTTTTCACCAACTCTCAATATCCGCGTCTCGGAACATCATGCGATGAACATTATGTACTCAGGACCTAGAGAAACTACCTCCTCGTCGTGTGCCTAGAAGATTGTCCCAAACTCGGTGGTGCGGATTATGGGGTATACGTACACTCGCTCGGACCTCGCTTCATATCGCCGCGTAACCCTTAAACTCTATCCCACATGTACGCATTGCTCGTTTCATATATCAACTGTGGCTCGTTCTTCGATACGTAGCATTGCACTGCCCTTCCGTTGCCATGTGTGCTATCATGGCGTCCATGTTCCTCGTCGACGTCTTGGGACGGCAGGTGTCCTCACTCCTGCCCCTGCGCCCTTAAAGAAGACTCTCTTATAGTTGTGTTTCTCTAAATGAAGACTTGGATTGCTTCGATTAGTGGCGCTCAATGCGTGCTAGGGCTTCTTCCCTGTGTGATAGTACGGCGGCATGTGGCTGTCTTCAACGCGTGCCCCACCAACGCTGGTATATATTCTTAGAGAGATTGTCCGCAGCGAGACAATGGCCGCAACAGACCCCACGTACCCACTGTACCCTCTAGTGTGTCTAGTTGGTGCGATACTTCTCTTGCTTGTCTTTATTTCTGGCTTCCTGCGCCAGAGCTGGAACCTGGGTGTCACCTTCTTATGCTTCTGGCTCTTCTTCGAGAACTTGACGTATGCCGCCAATACCATCATCTGGTCAGACAATGCCGACGTCAAACTATACATCTACTGCGATATCGGTGAGCGCATCTCACCACGCGCTTTCCGAGAAGCCCCATTGACTTCACATACCAGTGTCACATCTGCAGCTCGTCGCCTTCGTGGTGAAACCTATGTCAACGCTAATCATCATGCGCCGGTTATACTTGATCGCCAGTCTACGGATCCTAGAATCTCCAAGTAAAATAGAGGTGTGGTTGCTTTCTTTGACCTACGCTCAATCAAGTTAGTGATAACGTCTTCCACAGAGGCAGCTGGACAGACTCAAAGAGTGGACCCTCGGTCTCATCATGCCCATCTTGTATGCGGTACCGCTCTGTGAGTCTTCCCTATCCACTGAAGACAGGATGCTGAGGCGCTTCACAGATTATGTTCTACAAAGACGACGCTTCATCGTCCTTGAAGCTCAGGGGTGCACGAATGCAATGGTACCATCTGTACTGTATCTCCTACTTCGCTCCGGCTTCATTCTGCTTCCACCGGCCATGTCACTTGTACTCTACCAAAGTACGTGAAGATATTACTTATATCGGATTCTACTGTTAACGCGAGTGTCCGACAGCACGACTAGCGCTCATCCTTTACCGTCAGCGTAGAGAGGTCAGCGCATTCTTGCAAAGCAACGCTGTGATCTCCGAAGCGATCTACATGCGCGTCTTGGCCGTCGCCACCGTGGACGTGATCGTATCCTTGATCGGCAGTACCGTGAGGTTTGCTCTCGACGTCCAGGCCTACGTGATCTCCGGGCACATCGTTTTCTACCAAGGGTGGGACTATGTACATAGCGAACCTTGGGGTCCCGTAGGCGTATCATGGGAAGATTGGAACTCCGACACCCCAATGGCCGTAGCATCGGATATCTACACCGAGTGGATGTCGCCCATCATATGTTTCGCCATCTTCGGATGCTTTGGTCTAACGCCGGGCGCCCGTGCAGCGTATCAACACGCACTCTGCACCGCCGCAGGATGGTTCGGGTTGAAGGCAGTCTGGCCCGGTCGACTCCGCTGTACAACCTTAAGCTCGGCGCTGAGTTCACTTCGTTTCAACTGCAACGTCGGCCAGCCTCAGGATGTTTCGCTCGCAAGTTGTGAGCTTGGGTGGGTGACACGGCCGACCCCCTTCACTGCTTCTGACCGTCTTTGCTTCTAGTCCTACGCTGGATGTTGTCGATACTGCACCACCTTCCGTAGACGCGGGAGCGGAAGGCAAGGAACAGGCTGAAGACACGGCATCGCGTGAACTGGACGAGCGCAAGGACTCTAGATCCCTTTACTCTAGTGAGAGCGGGTGCGTTCCACATTCAGACGGCTATAAAGTTAGGTCTGTGACTGACTTCAGCGTAGGGATCTGAAGCGAGGACGACGTAGCATGGAGACAGCCGTGACTGGCGAGACGAAGGTATTTCCAGCAGCCGATCTGGTTTAACGGCAGCAGGTAGTCGAGGTGTCGTCGCCATTGAAAAAGCCGTATATTTGCGGCCTAACTTTCAAGTCGTGCAGTGGAAACAGAGATTATGTATGCAAAGCTTCGATTTATTAAGGTCCTAATACTAGCCCTATGTGAATTCCGAGTGCGCGACACGATTCCGACCGAACACTGTAACGGGTGTAAGACAGAGTACCTTCAGAAAGTTCACATAGAATACCGCACCGACTGGATTCCGATCTACATGCTTCCTTCGCACACATCCGCCCCCTCTCACTCCAGTCACACATCGAAGTCCGCACGCTCTCCTGCATGGCCCAGAGAAGGCTATATCGCGGGTCTCCGTAGTATGGCATCTTCAACAAGCGTTCGTACCCCCCAATGGTTTCGGGTCCAGCGGTTCGAGCGTGGCGCGGGAGACGTAGGTTTCATGCAACCATCCTCTTGTCTCCGAGGCAGCTGCAGAAAATGCAGCTTGTGCGCTGTAGGCGCTCCTGAGCGGTGGAGAGGCAACCGGTGACCGGTGATGCAAGATGGTTCAAGCTTGATGGACGTCGCACGGCCAGAGTTCACGAGGTGGCGGGGGCCGACTCGCGCGGTAACGCTGTCCTGCCATCATGGCTTCATCGCAGACGAAGATGGGCGGACAAGTGATGGGTGAGGTGGTGGGAGGAAGAAACATGGCCCCGCGCGTTTTCCCAGTAGATAGTTTGTCTCGCGCCACCACCTGTCGGTCCCTCCACCAATTAAAACGATATATACACCAATACCATGATACAGCACTCGATGCATGTGCACAATGGAACATATCGGAGTGCTACAAACTGACAGGTGACACCGTACACGTGTGTGGTCATCACACCGGTTTTGCTCCCGCCGAACTCCTTAGACTTCCTTGCCGCTGGACGACCAATCTGATTCTCAACATTCCAACCCTCGTCAACACGTACCGCTTCCCGCATGCCCTCACTGTTTGCGGTCACCACAGGCTACCCGCGACATTGGAAGCACTTCAGCGCTCTAGACTTGCTCACAATGGACTGGAGTATCGCTTTACTCCCTCGCGACGACGTCCATATGCGCATCCTGATTCATTCGTATTCGACCACACATTGGCCTCGAAGCAGGGAGTAGATGACCTTCAACAGCGGGCACGAGATGGAAGATGCATGGGATCACCTATCAGACACGTATCTGACTGAGCCATATAAAGAACCTCAGCATACGAGGACACGACCATCCCCGCAGTATGGCCATGGGCGCGGTCGACCCGACGTATCCTCTACTCCCTATAGCGAGTGTTATCACCTCTCTGCTTCTTCTTCTGGTATTGTTCTCCAGCTTTGCCCGACAGAGTTGGAACCTCGGCGTCACCTTTCTCTGCTTTTGGCTCTTCTTCGAAAATATCGCCTGGACCATCAATGCCATCATATGGTCCGATAATGCTGATATCAAGTTGTATGTGTATTGCGATATCGGTGAGCGTGCTTGACGGGAACTTGGGCATTGAACTGACTCGATCCTGATCTCTAGTCTCGCACCTGCAGATCCTCACTTCTGTCGTGAAGCCAATGTCGTCGCTCCTGATCATGCGCCGCTTGTACTTGATCGCCAACTCACAAGCGGTGGAGAGTCCAACCGACGCGATGGTATGTGACCTACTTCATCGACCGCGTCAGGATCTGAATCATCACAGAGACGAAAGGACAGGCTCATCGAATGGACTATCGGATTAGTTATACCTGTGCTAGTGGCAGGCCCAATCTGTGCGTTCTACCGTCGTCTTCGAAGGCCTGACTATAGACTGATGCATTCATCAGACTACGTAATACAGGGTTCCCGCTTTGCGGTAAGCGAGGGATTTGGGTGTGGAGGTGCGATGATAGGCGCTCTCAAGATCGTACTCATACAGCCGTGGCTTATCCTCCCCCCTCTTCTCGCTTTAACCGTCTATTATCGTCAGCATCTCATCTACCTCCCTTCTCGCGAACAAAAGTTGACGCAGATACGCTATAGCGCGGGTTGTCAGGATCCTCTATCGACAACACACAGAACTCAACCGGTTTCTGCAAACCAACCAGTCGATCTCCCGTTCATGTTATCTGCGTGTTCTGGCTCTCGCTAGCGTTGACATCATTTTCTCTCTATCTCTCAACACTACCGGCTTCGTCCTTTACCTGCTGCCTTACATCGGATCAGATCAGCCAGATTCATTCTACCCGGGATGGGATAGCGCTCATTCCGATTGGAGCCCAAAGAGCCATGCATATGCGGGATTAGGGACTGAGAAGGCGTTGCTGTTTTTCACTCGATGGACGACCCCCATATTCGCCATTGTTATCTTTGGCCTTTTCGGTCTCACACAGGGTGCCCGTGCATCTTATCGGGAAGCGTTCTGGACCGTGAACGAATGGCTCAGGCAGCTACCCTACAACCTCGTGTTCTTCCGACGCCTTCGTAATAAGCGGATGCGGGAGGTCAAGAGACTCAGCATAGAATCCGGGTGTGTTCCAGTGTCGCCTGATTTGTCAAGCATACGACTAACAACCTCCACCAGCTCAAGCGATATCGATATGTCGACCTCTTCGCACGGCCTGACCGTGGATAAGCGTCATTCAAACAGCGACTGGACCGTCGCCGGCGACATCGAGCATTCTTAAGTGCCACTCCAGCGATTCTGGGCATAGACATGCTCAAAACCCACCGAACAGCTCATAAAGGATCCTCGACGTCGTGCAGGGATGTCAAGCGGGGGGAAGACTGAACACTGGAACAGTCGACGTTGGTGACATGACCATTTGTTCGCCGGTGGATTCAGTCTACGGTTGCCGGCTAGTCCGAGGCCCAACTCGTCTCGCGCACAACGCGCGCCGCGGCAGTTATCGGCCTGACAAGGGCTTACCGTATCCCCGCCCTTCGCTCCAGCAGCGTACACGGCTGCCAGAGTACCCTCCCTGCACAGCCATAGACCTTCAACAGCCTCCTCCGGGCGAGATGACACCCGGTAAAGTGGCAGAAAACATTTCCGCGCTTTGCCGAGTCTTTTCCACGCCTCGACAGCGGGTTGCCGGCTGTTGGCGGCTTTGTTGGTACTTGGCCCTTGCGGTGCTCGTCCCGCCGTGCATCTTGGTAGTCTGGTGAGGCTTTAGACGTTGGAACTACAGTGGCGTAGAGTAGAGATCGTGGGGAACTTGTGTATATATGATACCAGTGTACCACACGTACTTTTCCGAGTCTCACAATCCCATTCTTGAAGATATGTTGAATCACCAGGACGACACCACCACCGAAGCGCTCACACCCTGCTCAACTTTACGACTAGATGATGGCTGCACACGTGCACTAGTGCCTCTGGCCAGGCTAAGACGTTCGACTCCTCAATGACTGAATGGTGTTCTAGGCAATAGGGACCAAGTCTATTGGGTCTGTCTATGATAATGCATAACCGATTCTCAGACACAGAAGTCACTAGGACCATTTTAATAAAAGCTCCTGCGGATGGGACATGCCCTGTTGAGCGTCCATAGCGTATATAGCGATCCGTGTCCTTCAGAGCTCGCGGCTGAGGCGTGGGAAAGGCTCGGCAAAGCGCGGAAATGTTTTCTGCCACTTTACCGGGTGTCATCTCGCCCGGAGGAGGCTGTTGAAGGTCTATGGCTGTGCAGGGAGGGTACTCTGGCAGCCGTGTACGCTGCTGGAGCGAAGGGCGGGGATACGGTAAGCCCTTGTCAGGCCGATAACTGCCGCGGCGCGCGTTGTGCGCGAGACGAGTTGGGCCTCGGACTAGCCGGCAACCGTATCAGTCTGAGAAGGGTAGGCTGACGGCCGGCCGTCGTTATCTGATTTCCGTTCTGTCCGAAGACCAGCTTGATATTGGACTCGCGTATTGGCAAATGTATATCATGCATTCACTTTCTGGGTTCCCTATACTAGTTCCGCTCCTATACTTACATCGCGAATGTACGGCATAGATTTAAAAAGTGTCATAGGGCCGCACGCGGCGAAACCCGCTACGGTTATTGAACTATCCGCCGCCTTTGCGGCTCGCATTCCCATGGAAGCTCGTGAATGTCGCGCGGGTAAAGATTGGACGGGGGACTCGGATACATATTGACAAGCAGGAGCATGGGGCGGTCGGACGAATAGTTGTAAGTAATCAGTCCCGTCACTAGCGCCTCAGTGAGGTCCAATGCAAGCTCGAATCAGGAAGATCACGCCGGCCTTGAGAGTGTGATCTGTCGGCAGGCCGCATTCGTGCGACGACGGCGCGTCCATAGTCTTACGCGAGCTCAGCGTGCACGTGTACCCAAACCGCTTCATACAACTTGAACGAGTGCACAGCCGGAGATCTCTACGAAGATACCGGAGTAGTCCTCGTACACTCTGGAGTCGGCCAATAGTTCTGTCGCACAGTCATCACCAATTGTATTGAACGAGTGAATGTTATCAATGTACGATCGTCATGGTGACCCTCGGAAAGTCTACGTAACCTCGTCGCATTGGCAAACTTTAGGTCGACCATAGTGTCTCATCGTGAGTAGCTCTGCCTGAAAGTAGACTCACACCGTCAGAGCGTAAGATCGACGAGGTGCGCTCCCCTCGAGCCGCGTTCCGCGCCTCTCGGGCTCGCGCACCGAATGGTTCGCAAACTTCCCTACCTCATCTGCAGATGATCACTTGATGTGGGGTGGAAGAGAGAGACGCGTCTGAGATATGGCACTACACGGCGTAAGGCAGAGATTGTAAGCAGCACCGTCGAGCTTGAAGTTGCACGATCCGGAGTGGTGGTCCGAGTCAATGGCACCGGCAATTGCGGTATACGATACGGTTACGGTCTCGTCAGGTCCCGCAGATATACGCGGAGATCCTCGCGGCTACGTACGAATCAGGCATTCAACCATTCACGGACGCTGCTGTTTCAACCCTAACCTTAGAAGCCGCCGGAGCGCCCGACGGCCTTACGACATCAGGCACAATTTGCAGGCACGCTCAAACGCCAGCCAAAAGCGATGTTGCTTTCGTGAAACCAAGACCCACTACTAACGTAGCGGGAATACACGGCGATGATGCCCTATGTCCAGCAAGAGACATCCTATTGTACGATCCATGCTACCTTGGTCCATACAGTAGTGAACTACGGCTGGCCAGCGTCCGTCCTAGTATGAAAGGGGAGTTCGCATCCACTGGTTAGATAGGTGCAGTAAATCAAGATGATAAGGGTACAGAGTATGGCTTCTTTTGTCGTCTGAGTCGACTTGGGAGCTGGACTGCGTGTGCGCGGCGGGAGGGTATATATATACGGTGGCTTTGACAGCGGGTCGATCTATTTGCATGTGTGCCCAAAGCGGTAAAGAAGCGCCAGACCCGAGAGCGGTGTTCTACCGTCGCGGTTGCAGGGGTGCACGCGAAGGAACGAGAGAGATGAGTGCCATGGTGGGAGGAGGGAAGGTTCGACGGGTTCGAATTCGCGCGCTTCTTGGCGCGTTTGCACCGCAGCACCTTTATCTACGCAAACGGTATAGCAACATTGTGTTCCTTGAAGCTTCAGACTTCAAGCCTCAGGCAAGTTGCAGTGCGAGGTGGCTGCGAGAAGGCTGTTGTGTGGCAAAGTGGGGCACTGCATCTGGACGACTGATGTATGGCCGTGGGAATGTCGTTCATCCGCGTGGCGGCGCGGCCTGGCGCCGCTGTCCTTGCGTCTCGCTCTGATGTATTTGGGCCGCGCAACTCATTCAGAGATGGCCCTAGAACACACTCTCGTCCATCCACGGACATTGAGATGCGAAACCTCTCCACAATGTATGCAGAGCCCTCTCGACTTGATCGCTGGTGCGGGGTCGGCATTGACACCCGCCGGGACTGGAGCGACGACAGGTTGTTCGCGTGGCGCATTCTCATCATAAAGGGTTTGTGGCGCTACTATAAGTGCGCATTTGGTCCAGACGATAGTCTTATACCTCTAGCCATCAGCGCGCACCGGTCTGACTGCCAGATGCATCAACTTTCGCACAGCATCCCATCATGTTGTCCCGCTAGCCACTCCCAAACATGTATGTGGGAGGCCCGAAACCGTCACCAACAGACCACTGGGGGAGATACATAAGAACGGTGTGCATGGAACAAGGCGGTGCAACTACTTTTCATGGGCGCGGCGGTCGACCCCACCTTCCCCCTCTTCCCTGTGGCCAGCATATTGGCTACCATCTGCCTCGGCCTTGTCCTGGCGTCCAGTCTCATCCGCCAGAGTTGGAATTTAGGAGTCACCTTCCTCTGTTTCTGGCTTCTACTCGAGAATCTATCCCATGCCATCAATGCCATCATCTGGTCAGATGATGCTGATATCAAATTGCACGGCTACTGCGATATAGGTGCGCTTATCACCTCCAGAGACGCTCTTCACGAACTTATGATGTTGCAGTCTCAAGACTGCAAGTCTTCTGCTCTGTTTTGAAACCGATGTCAACTTTGATCATCACGCGCCGACTGTATCTCATAGCTCACTACCTACCCATGGAGGTCTTCTGCGAAAGAAAGGTAAGGCCATCATGTCCGGATCCGAGCTTTATCGATCGGTCCTGATGAATACGATACAGGAACGATGGGGTCGTTTAGTCGACTGGACATTGGGGCTCGGTATACCCGCCATCGTGTCGGGACCTCTATGTGAGTCGTGTGGGAATGGAGACATGGCTCTCACTGACACAAGACATAGATTATGTAGTGCAGAATACGAGATTTGTCGTCATCGAGGGCTTCGGATGTACTGGTGGAACCACAAACTCAATCCTTACCCTCCTTCTGATCCAAGTGTGGTTCATGATCCCGCCTCTACTGTCTGCCGCATTCTACTATCGTGCGTACCTACGAACTGTTTCAAGTCACTACTCTGACCCACGGTGTCTAGCCAGTACGATACGGATCTTCTATGGCCAGAGCAGAGCGTTTGATCGCCTCTTGAACAGTCACGATCGCTGGTTGCCCACACGCACGAACTACCTTCGCGTCCTCGCTCTGGCTAGCATCGATATTTTTCTCACTCTGCCTCTGAGCATCACACGCTTTGTACTCGCTGTTCTTTCGACGACGAAGATGAGACCGGCGCCTTTCTATCCAGGCTGGGACGTTGTCCATCACGATTGGACCCCGGTCACCATCTCCTGGGCAATGCTGAATGATAAAGGGGCACCCGAACTCGCTTTCGTTCATTACGGTTTTTGGATATCGCCCATCTTTGCCTTTGCCTTCTTTGGTCTATTCGGGCTTACAGAAGGTGCACGCACCTCGTATTGGCGCGTGTTTCGTGTCGCCGCGGCTGTTTTGGGTCGGAGACGAGCTCATCTAGAGCGAGGATCTCAATCAATTGTAAGTCCAATACGTTTCGACGTACCGGTGCAGGAGATTTCACTCAGTGTACCGGGTATGGTGTACGTAACTTGCTGGATCCACTATCCTGCATATTCCTCTGACATGCAAATCGCAGTACCACCTCAAGTCTGGTTGAGATCGTACCGATACCACCTGGACTAGCCTCAGACAGCCAGGTTAAACCTGCAGTTGAGCGGACGGACGAGTCATGCATCGTACCAGTCCATGCTATAGCCGAGGACGAGTAGGTCGCCTCATCCTTTAAGCGACTGTTTCTGACGTCCAACGTTAAGCAGAAGCGTCGAACATTTGACCCAGAAACCCTGCAGACCGAAGACGGCATCAACTTAGGTCGGCAGTTATATGACCGGCTGACGATGCACGCGACGATCATGGTGCTTTATCCCCTTCGAGCGCTTTCGAGAGGCTCGATGTCTCAGCTCTGACCACGTCATGCGAAAGGAGAGGAAGCGGCACCTGCTTGTCGAATCGGTGCAAAATCACTCGCAAGAAGCCGCGTCTGTATGGTGCATACCGTCGCGCATTACACGCAAAGTCTCTGCCTACCCTCGGCGCAGCTTGGACTAAGTACGTGGACAGGGACGTATACACTGTACAATTCATTTTTCTGTCAGTGATCTTCCCAACTCGGTCGTACAGCTCCAGCTCGCGGTCAACACCGATTTCTGCGTCAAGGCGAGCAGCACCGCCGTCGGCTTTCAGCTCACCCTCGACTCCTGCGACCCGTCGACGACCTTCGACCTTCCGCAAGGCGCACCCTCCGATGTTTCAACTCAGCTGGCGCTGAACGCCACCTTCTCGAACGGCGGACCGATCGCCTGCATCAGTGCCAGCGGCGTGGACCTCGACGGGCCCGTCTTCCTTCATGTTTGCCAGGACGACAAGGCCCAGCACTGGAACGTCGAGGGCGGTGCCGGCCGCGGATCGATCGTCAATGCTGGCTCGATCACCGGCACAAACTGCTTGACCGCGACGTCGACCGAGCAGGGCAGCACCGTGAGTAGCGTCGGTTTGGGGCCGGATCCGGGTCGTCGAAAGGAAGCCGTTGACGTGCATGCGCCTTCCAGGTCATCTACTCCACCTGCCTGGGCAGTGCTACGCAGGAGTGGACTCCCACGCACGCCATCAACTTCCCTCGCTAAGGGTTGGCCGTCTAGGTCCTGCCCACTTTCAATATGGGACGTGTGGCAACAGCACTTTATCTTGGATGATCTTATCCCTGCTCATCTTGGGACTATCGGGCTTGGTTGACAATCGTGCTATACACCTTACGTCTTAGAGTTCATCGTACATTCGTGGTATTTGAACACATGAATATCATCCTCACTATTTCGGTGGTTCTACCTACGTGAGAGAGGAGATATAAATCTGGTTGAGACGAGGTCAAAGTCGAGACATGCGGAGAAGATAAACCGTACTGTGGCCGGCGCAGGTAACGTTGCCTGTGTCAAAAGCCCTTCGGAAGCTATGCCTTGACTGCCGACCCGAACTCTTTCTCCACCGCAGCCGCGAAGTTGAAAGCAGCCCAATGCGCCTGCACCCGACCCTTCGCATCCGCACTCGAATCAGTCTTTCCCGCCCAACACCCGGGGATATGATACGCCTTATCACAGCTACTGCACTCATACTTCTTATCTCTCTCCTTCCCCTTCGTGTTCATCGCGCAGTATGCAACATGGTCGCATCCACACATCGCACATTTCTGTTTCGCAGCCTTCGCATTAGCGCTGCTGAGATGGATCGAGATGGTGTCGAGTGCAGCCTCTCTGCCTTTCTCGCGGACGTCCATCAGGCGCGCGTACGTCTCCCAGCCTAGCTTCTTGCGCTCGTCGGATGTGATGGGCTCTTTCCGCCAGACAAGCGAGATGTAGCCTTCTTTGAGCCACTTTGCGACGTCGTAACGCTTCGCGAGGAGGATCTTGTCGACGGTGGATTTCCTCTGCACTTCGGCGTTCGAACCTGAGACGGCCTTTGCCTTCATGTCCGTCAGATTCCATTTCTTTGCTAGAGTAAGAACGCCCATCCATTCGTCGAGGGTGAGGACTGATGCCGTCGTGCCCGGCCTATGAGAAGATCAGCTTCGCCAGCGCCAATCTACGGAGATTTACGCACGGAGGGAACGACGCCTTGAGGAGACTTCGGAAGTCAAATGCCTTTACGTCCGGGTCGAGCAGGATGGGGTTCTCATTTGACGAGCCGGCGCCGTTAGGCGATGCTTGAGAGAACATCGCGTCGAAGACCGCCACATCGGCCGGCAGGCCATAGCGAGGAACCCTGAAGAGTGTTTTCTCCGCCTGTACGAGGTGTGGTGAGCACTGATAAGGACGGCGGCTATGACTTGCAGCGCACCTTGAAGATAACCGACTGGAAGTAGAAGTATTCGTCTTGCACGTCTTGCTGCTGAGGCTCCTGCATGGTGATCTCGAGGACAGACGGTATGGAGATGAAGGATGAGGTGGGAGAGGGAAATGTCAACGTCGATGATCCACTCTCAAGATCTGTCGAGGACATGAACGCGGTGAAAGCGTCACGAGAAGCCATCGACGTACTTATAAACGCTGACGCCACGAGCGCCCGTATAACGTTTACGGCCCTACAACACGAGGTCAGCGTCTTCTGTAACGGTCCCTTCCCGGGGTGGCGCGTGCGACTCGCTGTCACTCGTCAAGCTTCATTATCATCCACGCTACGAGCGCAGATGCAACGACGCGAACGCATGTTGGCGTAAAGCCGTCTTCCATAGTGATACCCAACAGTACATGACAAAGTCATAATAATCTGTTTGTGCGTCCCTGCTGGATAAGGCCTAGAGCCCCAGCGTCTCATCCTCCGGCTTAAAGTTCTTCGTCATATCCCAATACCCAGCCAGCTTCTGTCCCAGAATCTCCCTCGCCGCATTATCCGTCGGCGCCAACTTGGGTCTGAAAGTCGCGAACGTCCTTTCGCGAATAGGGCCCTCCCACACTAGATCGCATCGATTGTCCTCGAGACTGACCGGCTTCTCTCCCTCTCCCTCGCCTTCGGCACCTCCAGCGGGGGTCGCTTCCTTGCTGATCGACGCGCCTGCACCGTCCTCGGTGTCGAGCTCGACGTCTTCTGCGCCACGGGCGCGAGCAGCTTCGGTCCATGCGATACGGTTGAGCATAAGCCGCTTGTAGTTCCGTACGAATTTCGCGGCGCCTTCGATGAAGACCATGCTGAAGGCTGGGTTCTGGATGAGGACACCCGTGAGGTTCATCTGTTCGGCGTTCTTGCGGACTTTGAAGCGGTGTGCTGGATCGGTGAGAATCTTCACCCTAAACGGACGAACGAACGAAAGTCAGTGATCGTGGATATGGAAGAGGGGGGAAGTTGATGTACTTGAAGATCGCGCCGTGCAGACCCTTCTTCTCCTCGTTGACTTTCTTCTCTTCGACCTTCTCGCGACGCTGTTCGTCTGTGAGCTTGCGCTCGGTGTTCATCTTGTCGTGGTTATGGCGGCGCATGGCAACTTCGCGGAGGACCTTGGCTTCAACACGTGTCGGATCTTGCACCGCGTCGGACGTGAGGACCTTCATCATGTTCACCAGACGGACTAGCGGCAATATGAGCATCAAATGTAAGACGGACGAGGTAAGAATGACAAACCTTTCGGCGCATCCGGTGCAAGCAGACCCATCCGGATACGGTCACGCTTATCTTGAAGCTCCTCCTGGCGTCTCCTCTTCCTAAGCTTCTTCATTTCCTGTAAGGCGTAGTTAGCATCTGTTCTGACTCTCATGAAGACGAGAGTGAAGTTCTCACCTTCTTGGTCAACATGAGAGGCTTGAGCGTCGGCTTGTTCTTGTCTCCAGGCGCAGGAATCGGGATGGGATGTTGCACGTAAAGTGTAATCGGGCTGCCCTCCTTCCGGATGTTCAGAGCGCTCGGGTGGAAGTTATCGATATCCTCGTAGTTCTTCGTCGGCAAGAGCGCCTCATCCCACCACTCGGCCCTTGGCGGTGGCTCCCGCTTGAGCTTCTTCTCAAGCGTGTCGAACTCGCTATCGAGACCAGCCTTCTTTGCTGAGTCGGCAATACGACGCTTAAGGTCCTCGAGCTGCTGCTCACGACGGATTTCGGCGGCTTGAGCGATGAACTTGCCCTTCGGGTTGAAGCGGATGGAACGACCAACGCGTTCGCGAGGTGCACCTTCGAACTCCTTTGATTCTTGAGCGGCCTCGGCGGCAGCTTGCGCGTAAGGGTTATCCTTGACGACGATAGGGACCGGGGTGACGGTCTGAGGTGGCGGAGTAGGAGCGTTGCGCGCGTTCGCCCTGATACTGGCAAACTTGGGCTGCATGGGCTTGTAACGGTCTTTCTTAGACTGAGGCGCCGGGGTCGAGGTATCGAGAAGAAGCGGGTGAGCGGCCATGTTCAAGCCAGAGCCATGAGGTGCTGGCTCAGCCGTAGGAGTGCGGCTATTATTTCTGTTCTGGACGGCAGCCTAATGATGCATGAGTGTGCGTTCATCGAGAGTACCAAAGAATCAATATACCATGTATGGGTTCCCACCGGTCGCGCCGACTTTACTCTGCGCCGCGGCGACCTTTCGCTTGGCCTCGGCGATACGAGCGGCCATGTCAGATGGGCTACTGCCACTGCCAGATGCTGCACTGGATGAAGCGGTCGGTCCTGCAGATATAGAAGCGCCACCAGGAGCGGCATTTCTCTTGAACGCTGCGAGCTTTGCGGCGATCTCGGCCTTCTTCTGCGCTATGATATCCGCTGGAGACGGCTATTATTGGGCGTCAATAAACATGAGATAACATATATAGGGTGAGACTTACGCCGGACGATCCTGAAGCGCCATTGGAGGGAGTCTGCGGGGTAAAGAACGGTTATAGAACCAAGTTAGAGGGATGTTGATGGCGCTATTCACCTTTGAACAGCGGAGAGAGGAGCACTCACAGCGTCACTGTAAAAGAAATCATTAGTACAACTCTTTACAGCATATGCGACACGAACTTCTTAGGCTTCTTGTGGGATGGTCCCGCATTATCCGCCGGAAGCGGACGCTTGCGGTCGCTCATCGTGATGGTGGTCGAGAGTCAACGTTGGAAGCGCGCGTCGAAGTCGCGTCGCGACTCGGCACCGCGCGCGGGCGCTTAGCCACGCGTGACAAGACAGCAGTCGGGCTTTACTTCAGACGCCCATGTTCTCCCTCGCCTCTCTGCGCGCGGCACTACCCTCAGCAGCCTCGCGCGCACCGACAGCGCCGTTGCGGCAACTCGGCCAGACGCGTGGCTTGCGCCAGGTGTTGGCACCCAAACGCGTAAAGTTCTCGCGCGTGCACAAGAATATTGTCCCCGTACCCATTGGAGGGAGCATCAAGGGCACCACATTATCCTTTGGCGATTATGGGCTCAGGATTAAGGGGGAGGGCGCGAGGATACCGGCCAGGACATTGAAGACGGTTTACGAGACGCTGAGGAGGAAGTTGAAGCCGGTCAAGGGATGCAAGATCTGGTTGAGGCGCTTCCCGGACTTTCCCGTCAGTATAAAGGTGTGTATTCCGCTTTCATGTAGTGTGGACTATGTTGAATGCCTGCTAGGGCAATGAGACGCGTATGGGTAAGGGTAAGGGTACATTCGAGTACTGGGCAACACGGTATGCACATCTCAATTCGATTGCGAATAGTATCTTGACTTGTCATTTAGTTGTGCAACTGGCAAGGTGCTGTTCGAGATAGGTGGCGGTGGATTGCGTGAGGAGCTTGCTCGCGACGGTGTGTCCATAGATTCACTTCACAGTGCATGTCCCTGACTCTCGTCGTAGCACTCCGTTTGGCGTCTGACAAGCTACCGACAAGAATGGAATTCATCACTCGCTCAACACCACCAAGGCTAGGTCGCCTACTCATCACGCCCGAGGTGCCGATTGTGGAGACGACACCCGCCTTGAATCGCACGGTAGACGTGAATCCGCCAGCGTAGAATACTTCCCGCCACCAATTGATGGCTAATGCATATTGCTTCTTATATTCTCATTCTCTCGCAGCAGCGCCTGCATACGGGTAACCGGTGGTCGTGAAGCTTCCAATAATCTTATCTCCGCGTGACACCTGCTATTGCGCCTTCTGGTGCCACGAAGGTGGCTCACGCGACCTTATATTGTCTTCAGCGTCATGTACGGATGGTTCGCGTGCACGTCGTGGTCTGGGCTCTAACTTGCTCTTTGTGTCCGCACTTACTGGCTTGCGGCCTTAGCACAAACTTGGTCATCATCTACAGCAATGGGTCGATACACTATCAGGCTGGTATGTGTATACGCTCGACGTCCATATAGTCTACTCGGATTGATGATCGTGAACAGACCATACAAGGCGTAATCGGTTCTCTTCCGACGCAGCGCGATATATGAAGCAACATCCGGCCGCCTCAAACTTCTAATGCCCTTCAACCCATAGCTACTTCCAACCCACCACGACGGACCCTCGGTACGCCTTCCCTGAGTTTAAAACTCCGCATCTGCCTCGCGTTCAAGATAGGGGTCCCAACCTTTCTCCTCAGCACATCGTCGTGAGTACGATCCCTCTTGATATCGACCACAAAGGCGCCGCCTCATGGCCTACGCGCCTCACACTCAAGGCTCCAAGGAGGCCGACCACCGGTCCTCGGTTTCCTCCCGACCCTCATCTCACCTATCACCCATCCACTTCATACGGTCCACGCAGCTCGCGAGGACAATACATGCCACCAGACGTCGGAGTGCAAGCAGGAGAATCAATGGTGCCACCACCGCGCCCGCTCGCCACAGCCAACAAGTTCAACTCCGGCTCCCCGATCCCGCCCGTGATGGTAAAACGTCCGAGTAAGGTCACGGTGGTCGAAGTCGAGGATGAAGGGGAGGTCGAAAGGCCGATGAGAGTCGTCACTGCTGTTGCACCACCAAAGCAACAGGCCGTCGTCGGTACGTTATCTGATTACTGGGCATGTGATCTGTCGCGCGTGATTGTGTGTTAAATGAAAGTTAGCAGAGACGCCCGAGATATCCATGCCGCCTAGGAAACGCACCGATTCGACGAGTAGCACACGATCTCGCTCTTCCGTCTCGAACTCAACACCCGCGCGTGTAACGCCCTCACCGAACCTACGAAACAAACAACCATCACCAGCTCTCCGCGGCAAACAATCGCCCATCCCACCCAACCCGCGTATCGGCAAACCCTCCACCCCCGGCCCCGTCTCGCGCTCACAAACCGAACCCAAGCTTCCTTCTATCGCCGAGAAACCTCTCCCCTCCGCACAGCGCACTACACGCGGACTTAAAGGCGATGATGCGGACTTCCCCGATCCCGCTGCTGATCCTTCTATCGCGGCGATGTTGGCAAAGTTTGCTGAAGGTCAAGCAAAAGCCGCGCAAGAGATTCGCGCGAAGAGTCCTGAGGCTGCGCGTGCCATGAGTCCTACGAACGCCCGCGCTATGAGCCCTGCCACTGCTCGTGCGATGAGCCCTGAGACTGTACGCGCGAAGAGTCCCGAGACAGCAAGAGCGCAGAGTCCAACTGCTCGAGGCAACGATCTGAGGTTCCGCTCGTTCTCCGAGGCACAGACATCGAGCACACCGCCTCCGATGGCTACGACCGCAGCTGCTCGTCGTATGCGCTCGCCAATCCCGCCGTCTACGAGCCCGGCACCATCTGGATGGCGTCGCGCGGGAACACCAGCGGGTACAGCAGCGTCGCGCCCTGCAGCTTCACGGTCTGTATCGTCGAATGCGGCGCTTCCGGCAACAAAGACCGGTCCGGTCCCCAAAGGAGGCGCTACGACGTCTGACCCTGCAAAGTCGCTCAGCTCTCAGGACACTCGGCAGGCCTCGCTCGCTCAGAAAGCCGAACAGCTTCGCATCAAAGCCGAGCAGGACGCCGCCGAGAAGCGAAGGATCGCAGAGGAGAAAGAGCGTGAGCTCGAAGCGCGAATGATGGCGATGCGTGAGGAGCAGAGGAAACGCGAAGAGGAGGCAGCACGGGCCCAGGAGGAAGAGAAGCAGCGTGTGGCGGCGGAAGAGGAGAAGAAGAGGCTGGAGGCTGAGGCGCGGGTTGAGGAGGAGAGAAGGATGCAGGAGATGTGGGCTTCCAGGACGAAGGGGAAGCAGCCTCAGACTTCGACGATACGCGCGGATCCGAAGGGGAAGGGAAAGCAGAGGGCGGTTGAGGTTGAGGATGTTGAGGCGTCGCCGCCTGCGCGTGGGAGAGTGAAGGTGGACCACGAGTTCGCGCTGAGGTTGCAAGCCGAGGAGCTCGCTCGTGCACAAGCGGCCCCGAACCAGAACTTGCAGGTTAAAGGCAATACCATTCATGCTCCGACCGCCATCTCTCCCTCGCCTTCTTGGTCGATGCCTGCTCCGCGCGGGCCTACGACAGCGGCAACTTCGACTCCGGCTCCGGCATGGACGACGTGGGGCAAGAGCACTACGCAACTCAACCTCGCCTCGCCACCTTCGCATAACGCAGTTCTGAGTCCTCCTGGTCAGAATATGCCGGGTGCGTGGGCGACGACACCGCAAGTCGCTACAACATCGCCTCCATGGCGTGCTGCTGGGTTGAGCCCGCCTGGGCAGGCCGTGGGAACATCGCCCGCCACTCAGAGCGCGCGTCTCAGTCCCGAGAACGCGGCCGCTCGAGACGAAGCGGAGTGGCAGCGGCGCATGGACGAGCGAGCACGCGCCCAGGCCGAGGCATTCCAACGCGAACAAGAACGGCTCGCGCATGAACGAGCGCAGGCCGCGAACGAGGCCGTACATGCCGCTGCGGGTGCGGAGAAGATGCAAGCGGAGGAAGCTGAGGTCGCTCGGATGCGCGCTGAGGAAGATCGTCGGTTCGCGGAGGAACTTCAGTCTGAGGAGTGGCGTCAGGCTGCGATGAGGCGTGAAGCCCCCTCCGAGCAGGTGGGAGGTGTATCGCAGGCCACTGGAAGCTTCAGGCTGAAGGAGGAGATCGAGGAGAGGAAGCGCGTTGCGCAGGAGAGGGCGCGAGCGGCGGCGGCGCTGCGTGCGCAGGCTGAGGCGCGTCGACGAGATGCGGAGGCTTTGACGAGGATCTGGGAAGGACGGGGTCTGGCAGGTCATGCTATCGCTGCGTAGTGTAGTTCATGGACATCATCTCTCTTGCTCTTATTCTGCAACACATGTATGCATACACTTGACTATCTTGACTTGCGATACAGTCAGCGCCCAGTCAGTTCTGCGGTGTTGATGTCGCCCGTTCGCGGCTCGCGCTAGAGATGCCGGGCATGAATATTCACGATGTGTGAGCATGCTGACCAAAAGGTGTAGATACGCCATGCGCTGTGTCCGAGAGTCCGAGGGACTGTGTCACTTATATCCGTTTCCTGTATGTTCTACCTCTCGGAACCAGAAACGAACGTTATTTGGTGTATATATTGGGAACCGGCAAGTCATACTTCGGGTCACATCTAGACCTTCACCCTGTATAGCTGGGAGCATACGCCGCGTTGCGCTCACTACGTAGCAACATCACATTCGTGGGGGCATCCTGGAGACAGTCCGCGCGCAAAGCGGGCAGGCTGCCCTCGATGACGTAGCGCGTTTATTCGTGTCGTGTGACATGTGACCGCGTTTCTTCATTGAGGCAAGACGCGTAAACGCGACTTGTTCTCGACGCTCTCCTATGTAGAATCTTCCACATTTTTGTCTCCGGAATGGCTGCAAACCAAAGCTTGTCTCGAGCCAAAGTACGCGAAGTGATCGAGTTGTGGCGAAAAGTGCTCATCGGGGATGGAACGGTACCCCGTGAACCCACATAAAGATGCTCCACCGTGCCAGTTCTATTTTTTGTCCGCCTGACCGCCTCACTGCCTGCGTCATCTTCATAACACGGACTGTTGCAATTCCAAGTCACGGACGAGCCGTGAGCTGCCCTGGGTGGCGCTCTGTACATAAACTCTCCGAGCGTCGTTCAGTGTTCCTTCTGACCCATTCGCTCCCGTTTCTACTCTAGCGTCTGGACTCTGTAAACTCGCGCTCTCGTCTACTGCTACCCGACACACCATGTCAGCCTCTGCAGGCGACGTCAAGGGCCAAGCTGCCAAAGGCGCAGACGAGAAGAACCGCGGTCCTCCAGAAACGACTCACGCCGAGAAGGGCCAACGCGACCCGGAGCAGGGTGATCCTGACGCCGAAGACCAGCGCAACAACTCGACCGACGACCTAAACGAAGATGACGTCTATAACGAGAGCGATGAGTACACGCGGCTACTGAAATACATTGATCTGGAGGCGAAGAAGTCACGCCGCGGCGGTGACGAAGGTGGTGACGAAGAAGAGGAGGGCGAGCTCAAGCGCGTGTGGTACATGCCCTGGAAGAAGCGACGCGTCTCATCCCAGGAGAATCAAAAGGTTCCCCAGCACTGGCTAGAGACCGACATGCTCAAGGGCCTGTCGGAAGAGGAAATCACCAAGCGGCGCGGGAAGTTCGGCTACAATGAACTAGAGAGGTACGTGCCTTGCCGTAGGCGCTGGTTGTGCATTGACTGACGCGCTCTAAGTCCTCGTACGAACCCGATTGTTCAATTCCTGGGATACTTCCGCGGCCCCGTCCTCTACGGTGCGTTCCCGATATCATATTGGGCTTCGCGCTCTCCATGCTCATGCGGCGCTAGTTATGGAACTTGCTGTCATTCTTGCTGCCGGCCTTCGCGACTGGATAGACTTTGGCGTCATTGTACGTTTCATCTCTACGCCATGCGTCGTCTGGAGCTAACGAACTGCAGATCGGGATCCTCATGTTGAACGCTTTCGTCGGTTGGTATCAAGAGAAACAGGCAGGCGACATCGTCGAGCAACTCAAGGCCGGTATTGCCATGAAGGCTACCGTCGTTCGCAACGGTCAAGAGCAAGATGTAGAGGCTCGCGAGATTGTACCCGGCGACATCATCATTGTCGAAGAAGGTGCGTCACTTTTGCCACTTGCAATCGGCGCGTTACTCACGCGTCATGCACAGGACAAACCGTTCCCGGTGATGGCAGGGTCAGTCCATTCTAACATGGGCGCTATTCCATGACGTGTTGACGCCATTTATAGATCCTGGCTAGTTACGACGACAAGGACCGTACCAAGGCTAAGGAAATCATCAACAAACGCCAGAATGCCCCGGAGAAGTCCGAGAAGGGCAATAGTAACGCAAACGGCGACGCCGCATCCTCATCCTCGGACACGAAAGAGGGCGTAGATAAGCCTCAAGATGGCCAGGATGAAGACCACGAGGACGAGGGTCAGAACAAGGGCCCCTCAATCCTTTCGCTGGGTGTGTATGCATGCATGAGTGACTTGAACCTGCGCTGACCACCGGATTAGATCAAAGCGCCATCACCGGAGAGAGTTTGGCTGTCGACAAGTGTGCGTAGCTCGCTCGACGGCTCCTCCGCCTTCAGAGCTGACTGGTTCAACAGACATTGCTGACACGGTTTACTATACTTGTGAGTGTCAGAGTCGCACCCCGTCCCTTCGCTTGCTCACATCACCCGTAGGCGGTGTCAAACGTGGCAAGGCGTATGTGGTAGTTACTGACATCGCCAAGCAATCTTTCGTCGGTCGTACCGCTAGCCTGGTAAACGCTGGATCCGGTCAAGGTCATTTCCAGAAGGTCATGACCAGCATCGGGACTACTTTACTCGTTCTGTGAGTCCCCTTTGCTTCTCAGCTGCCGCATGAGCGTTGGGTACTGAGCATCGTATAGTGTCATCTTCTGGCTCTTCGCCGTCTGGATCGGCGGCTTCTTTCGTGGCACCGATATCGCGACGCCCAGCGACAACAACTTGCTCGTATACTCGCTTATCTTCCTCATCATCGGTGTCCCCGTCGGTCTTCCTTGCGTCACGACGACTACCATGGCCGTTGGTGCAGCGTTCCTCGCTCGTCGCAAGGCCATCGTTCAGAAGCTCACGGCCATCGAGTCGCTCGCCGGCGTCGACATTCTTTGCACAGACAAGACCGGAACTCTCACGGCTAACCAGCTCTCAGTCCACGAGCCGTGGGCTGTTGAGGGTGTCGATCTCAACTGGATGCTTACCGTGGCGGTTCTCGCCTCAAGTCACAACGTGAAGGCGCTTGATCCTATTGACAAGGTTACAGTCACGACGCTCAAGGACGTGAGTACCTCTTGCATGTTTCACTGTACTGCACGAGCTCACTATACTACAGTACCCGAAAGCGCGCGAGATGCTCCAGCACGGATGGGTCACGAAGAAATTCAAGCCGTTCGATCCCGTCAGCAAGCGTATTGAGGCTGAGGTTGAGCGCGACAAGACCCGCTACACCTGTGCTAAGGGCGCTCCGAACGCTATTCTTCGTCTCACGCAACCGCCTCGCGAAACTCAGGAGCTGTACCAACAGAAGACGACGGAGTACGCTAAGCGTGGCTTCCGTACGCTCGCTGTTGCGGTGCAGGAAAACGGCGGACAGTGGCAGCTGCTTGGCTTGTTACCGATGTTCGACCCTCCGCGAAGTGATACTGCTCAGGTATGCAGCACCAACTTTTCCCTTAGTACACTCGCTAACCACTTAGCAGACCATCGCCGAAGCGCGCAACCTTGGTGTTCGCGTGAAGATGCTTACCGGTGACGCTGTAGCTATCGCGAAGGAGACATGCCGCCAACTTGCACTCGGCACGAACGTGTACGACTCCGACAAGCTCATCACCGGTGGCGCCATGTCCGGTTCCGACATTCATGACTTTGTCGAGTCCGCCGACGGCTTCGCTGAAGTTGCGCCCGAGCACAAGTACCAGGTTGTCGAGCTTCTCCAGAACCGTGGTCACCTTACAGCCATGACTGGCGACGGTGTCAACGATGCTCCATCGCTAAAGCGCGCCGACTGCGGTATTGCCGTCGAGGGCGCTTCCGACGCCGCCCGTAGCGCCGCCGATGTCGTCTTCCTTGATGAGGGCCTGTCCACCATCATTACTGCCATCAAGGTCGCACGCCAGATCTTCCACCGCATGAAGGCATACATCGTCTACCGTATTGCGCTCTGCCTGCATCTTGAGATCTACCTCACCCTCTCCATGATCATCTTGAACGAGACCATCCGCGCCGACCTCATCGTCTTCATCGCGCTGTTCGCCGACTTGGGCACCATCGCTATCGCCTACGACAATGCGCCTTACGCAGACGAGCCCGTCGAGTGGCAGTTGCCGAAGATCTGGATCATCTCGACCGTCATGGGTGCACTGGTGAGTGCACGTCTGAACAGTGACATTGCAGCATGGTACTCACATACTTTCAGCTCGCCGCTGCAACCTGGATTCTCCGTGGCACACTGTTCCTTTCTCACGACGGCAATCACGGCGGTATCATCCAGAACTGGGGTTCGGTCCAGGAGATCCTCTTCCTCGAGGTCTCGCTGACAGAGGTATGTTCAACTTAAACGCGTGGGCCCACAACATCGACTGACGGTTCGTAGAACTGGCTCATCTTCGTCACTCGTGGCGGCGGTACATGGCCCAGTTGGCAACTCGTCGGCGCTATCCTCGCCATCGACATTGTCGCCTCGATCTTCGCACTCTTCGGCTGGATCTCCGGCGACCAGCCTCACAACGGCCACACCGACATCGTCACTATCGTCCGTGTCTGGGCGTACAGCTTCGCGGTCACCGTCGTGCTCGCGCTCGTATACTTTGTCCTGAACAAGATTACTTGGTTCGACAGGCTTGGCCGTGCCAGGCGCGGTGTGAAGCAGTCTAAGCAGGAGGACTTCCTCATGAACTTGCGTCGTTTGACGCTTGTCCATGAGCGTTCAGGTGGCGAGGATCTATTCCACTTTGCGCCTGAGAAGGAGGTCAAGTGAGTAATCGTCCCTTCTTATGTATCTGGCGCTGGTTCTGACGTGTGTTGTAGACAAGGAGACATGGAAGAGGAGGGTGACTCTACGCCTCCACCTCAAGACTCCAAGAACGGCGCTAAGAACGGCAATAATGAGAAGAAATCATAAACGAACCATTACTGTAGACCCCCTGTACCACTAGACGTTCACGCACGAAGACGTACATCTCGGACTTGTACTATTTTGATGTTTCGCTGCTCTTGCTTTACTCTACTTTAGCTGTACTTATACTCTGATGTCTGCTTTCACGCACTTTACGCCTCTCATGGATTCAATGATAATGCTCTTTGACGCTTTCGTGTACTTGTCTTCCAGTAGTTGAAGCCTCCATGAAGCTGGTCTAGTACAGTAACCAATACTCTCGAGTTCGTGTAGAGAATGTTGTGGGTACGTGTGTGACCGCCATCACTGGTGAGGTTGATGTCAGATGAGTTTGACGCGTCGCGACGCGTCTCGCGACTTGCCCTCCGCTTCCACCGCTCGGCTCGGCTACATTCGCCAAACCCGGAGCACCAACTCTCGGCATGATGCGCGAGGGCATGATTGGCGCGCCTGCCGAACGGGTTCGGACGGGGACAGTCTGGCGTAAACTGGCACGGCTCTTTCTACTCACCTCATGCTCTGTCTTGGTCTTCTATACCAGTCTGAACAGACAGCTACAAGAGGGCAAGCATGTGCACCCTTCTTATGTGGAAAGGGCCATCCAAAGGTGCAGGGAGAAGGACCGCCCGGCCGGACCTCCTCCAGACTTCCATGATCGAGAGACGTCGGACCGCTTTCAGCCCGGGACAGCGCCTGTACTCATTCGCAATGCCCGTATCTGGACGGGTGAACACAACGGGACGGAGGCCGTTTCTGGCGATATCTTACTGAAAGATGGACTCATTGCTGCTATTGTGACTCTTGGCTTAGACTCAGCCGCACAGTCTAAGGATGAGCTGGTAGTCCAACGCGCCATGGAGGACACCGATCTTGAAGTAATCGACGCGAAAGGCCGCTGGATCACTCCCGGGTAATTGACACTTTCCTGTCTTGACGCGCAGTATTGATTCTACTCTAGCATTGTCGACATACACTCGCATCTTGGAGTATATTCTTCACCTGGACTAGCTGGAGCAGCCGACGGGAACTCGCTGAAAGGACCTATCGTGCCCTGGGTTCGCGCCCTTGACGCCTTGAACACACACGATGATGGCTACGCTATCTCTGTGGCGGGAGGAGTTGTATGCATGCTCGTGTTAAGCTTGTTGAGCATGGTTGACATGTTCTGCAGACAACTTCAATGATCCTTCCAGGGTCCTTGAATGCCATAGGTTCGCCCTACTCGATGAGTGTACCGACAGCTCGCTCAACATTCTTATAGGCGGTCAGGCCATTGTTATCAAGTTACGACCTACAGCGGAGAGGTCACCAAGCTCCATGTTGCTGGAGTCGGCGATCGGCGAGAATGGTTTGCTCTCTCCCAACCAGAGCTACGTCCCTTGGCGTCACATGAAGTACGGATCGAGACTGCTATCAAGTTTGAAGAGCGCGATCTGAACGTCTTTTCTTCAGGCATGCTTGTGGTGAGCGCAACGTCCATACCTGTATTGGTCTACGCTGATACTGTACTAGGCGAGAACCCACAGCGATACTACGGCAACACACGCATGGACAACTTCTGGGCATTCCGTCAAGCGTGAATCGCTTCGTCCTTGGTGCCTCTCTTGTAGCTGATGAAGGGATAGGTACGATACTGCGAGACAGATCAAGGAGAACCAAGACGCCTTCTGCGAAAAGGCGGACTCCGGTCACTGGGATAACCTCGGAGAATACCCTGACGACCTACAATGGGAATCCTTGGTCGATGTTCTTCGTGGCCGCGTGAAGGTAATCCGCAGAGACATGGCCGACGTCTTGTACTCATGGTGTGTGCACAGATTCATGTACATTGCTATGAGCCTGTGGATATCGACGATCTGGTCCGGGTACGCCTAATCCGCATGCTGTTTCTCTATCTGTACTGACGTCATGTAGCTCTCGAAGGAGTTCAAGTTCCCCATTGCCGCCGTTCATCATGGCGATGAGACCTTCTTGGTCTCAGATGTACTCAAAAGAGCCTATGGAGGCACCCCTGCAACGGCACATTTCGCAACTCTAGCTAGGTTCGTACTCGATGTAACCTTCGACAACCCGTTGACGCTGAACTTGGTACCTTAGAGCGACGCGGGAATCGTACCGCCACTCGGAGTTCGCACCGCGCATCCTAGCTGACGCCGGTATTCCGGTCATCATGAAGGTGATTTCGGTTTGACAGCTGAAGAAGATTCACTAACTTGTACATGCTCAGAGCGACCATGGCGTTGTCAACTCCAGGTACCTCATGTTCGAAGCTCAGCAAGCACACTACTACGGTCTTCCGGAGAACTTAGCTCTCGCATCTGTCACGAGCGAGCCGGCAAAGGCGATGGGACTGGACCATCGTATTGGTTTCGTCAAGGCAGGATGGGATGCAGGTGAGCTTGTCTTAGAGTGTCGATACAACATGTGTGGGACTCATGTGGGCGCAGATCTCATCCTGTGGGATAGTCATCCCTTGACCCTCGGCGCTACACCCACCCAGGTCTTCGTTGATGGGATCCCACAGCTCACGAATCCTACAATCCTTGGCAAACCAACGGACCTCCTGGTAGCGCCGAAGGTGCCCAACTTCGATCGCGAGGCTGTTGAGGCAGTCGAGTACGAGGGCCTTCCACCGCTCACACCGAACGCCACGTCCGCCCCAGTGGTCGTCTTCGAGAACATCAAGACCCTCATACTCCCGTTCTCCGAAGCAGACGAAATGCAGGACGACTATTCAACATCTGAGTTTCCCAGCTTCGGCTGCGCCATCTTCCGCCATGGAGAGCTCGAATGGTTCGGACCTGTGCGGGCGTGCGCACGACGCGTAGCGCTGGAGCGTACGGTTGAGTTCGTGAACCTTCATGGGGGTACTATCTCGCCTGGTCTGACGACCTTCGGATCTGAGCTGGGTCTTTCGGAGATGCGCTACGAAGACTCGACTCGCGATGGACCCGCGCGCTCGACTATTGACGATCTCATCAACCCAACATCAGGCGGGCCGCGTTATCGCCTCATCCGGGCGGCTGATGGTCTACAGTTTGGCGGACGGGATACGCTGTGAGTGAGGAATATGCCTTGTGTCTGCACGCCGCTTACACTTCATAGATACGCCTATCGCGCAGGCGTGACTAGGGCAATCGCGACCCCTCTAGGAGCTAACTTTAGGAAAGGCTTCGGCGTCGCTTTCTCGACGGGCGTTGCACACAGGCTAGAGAACAGTTCGATCATCCAGGATATTACTGCGCTACACGTCGAGATTAATCATGTGCGCGGTAATGGTGCACCTAGTATCAGTACCCAGATCGCAGCTCTACGCCGTCTACTCCAGGGTCATGCGCCAGAACCCGAGCTTGCAGCTGCCGGCTTGCAAGTTGTCCAGGTAGCAGACGGGTACTGTATGAGCGAGTGTGATGCTGACACTAAATTGCAGGGCGCTATCCCGATCGTCGTGCATACGGAGAGTGCCGACCAGATCGCCTCCCTCATCGCCCTCAAGGCAGAAGTCGAAGAGGAGACTGGAACTCATCTGCGTATGACGATTGCTGGTGGGACGGAGGCGCATCTCCTGGCGCAGGAGCTAGCCGGCGCCGGAATTGGTGTTATTCTGCTCCGTCCGCGTCCCTATCCCAGTGGCTGGGAATCGCGCAGGATGTGTGTATCTCGTATCCTTCGCTCTTCAAGTGTGCCGATTGACATGGCTGGATAGCATGCCGGGCCCACCAATCAGTCAAGCGAGCGCGCTCAAGACGTTGCGTGCGCACGGTGTTACGGTAGCAATCGGATGCAACGAGGCCTGGAAAGCACGTAACACTCGTTTTGAACTTGGATGGGTACGTCATGAAGTTGTAAGACTCGGCGGTCAGTCGCTGAACATGCAACGTAGGCCGCCCTTGAAGCGAATGGTAGCATATCGAGGACGCAAGCGCTTGCGTTGGGCTCTGTGATACTCGAATTCCTATTGGGCGTCAACAGCGGCGCGCCGGGCATGCGCGAGCTCGTAGCGACAGACGGCGGTGACTTGTTGCAATTTGAGAGCAAAGTCGTTGGGATTATTTCGCCTGCTCGTAGACGTGTGGACTTGTTTTGAGCGACAGGAAATCGGGTGTTCATGGTTGTAGCCAGCACTTTTTTTTTGCCGTATGCGACTATTGTTCGTGGCCTGAGGGTGGGCGAAGTGTTGTTGCTGGTCGTTCTTGATGTGCAATTTGGTGTTGAGGGTGTGGTGGATGATCGCAGTTTGGTGACACGCGGAGGCAGGAATATGGATAAAATATATGTATTTCGAGAGCGCGCATGCGTAGTACAGCAAACACGATACCTCTACGAGAGATATGAAGATATGTCGGTACACCCAGCCCGCACATCCTCCCTCACGACCTCTTCCACCCATCATGAGCGCCAGCGCGAAGCGATGCCTCCAAGGCGAAAGAGACCGTTCGAACGGTTGAACATACGAGAGACCAGGCGACACCCCACGCCGCCCGCATTGCGAGACGGCGCTGTTCTGCTCGAAGGGACTGGAACGCGGACAAGGAGGCTAGAGAGCTGGCCAAGCCCGAACTTTGGTGTCCCTAGGGATTTGTTCAAGGAAAAGCGGCGGTCGCGGCGAAATTTGCCTTATATATGACGGGTCGCACGCCTTCGGCATCTTCCGTTCCACGGGTCAATTCTCAAACGGCGAAACTTTACATCTTTGTTCAACGACCCGATATGCCCTCATATCATATTCAACAAGTAAGATTCGCTTGATGCATATGCTACGTCAGTTTCGGAATCTGCCAAAGAGACTATGAGGTAGGACGGTTTCGATTTCGATTTAGCAGCCTCTGAGTAGATCCTTTGCCTGACTCGGACGCTCTTGCGAGACGCCGGTGGCTTCTGATTATCTTGTCATCATGTAGCATAATTGCATCATCGAAACTACAAACACAAATCAAGTATGTGATGTTATCGTTGTGTTCAGCCGTCGACGTGCTTGGAAGTCAGTGTAGCTTGGATGTCAACCCAAATACTTCGACAACAAAAATTCCTCTTCAATAGCCGCGTCCAAGTCATAGTTTTGGTTGCCCCCAGCTTTCATACGCGGAGGCGTGGCAGAAGTATCAACGGCCCAGCAGCCCGGGATATGACGGCAGCCGCAGATGCTACATTGGCGCCCCCAGTCAGTACCCGCAGTGCTCTTGTTCTCTGCGCAGTATGGCCGATGGACAGAGACGCAAGCAGTGCAGTGCCGCATTGCGGGCAAGGACACACCAGACGCATCCTGATCGTCGACGTCTAAACAGCGACAGTTCTCGCGCACATGCATCAAACGCCCGTACGTCTCCCAGCCCAGGGCATCGCGCTCTTGAGAGGTGATTGGACCGCCACGCGACGCAAGTGCACGATACCCCTCCTTAAGCCATTGTGATACGCCATACTTCTTGGCAATGAGAATCTTGTCGATGACCGTCCTCTTCTGTATCTCCGCGTCTGAACCAGCGACCGCTTTGTCCCTCATACTTTCGAGATTCCACTTCTTCGCCAGTGCAAGCACGCCCATCCATTCGTCCAATGTAAGCACTGCAGTCGTCGCACCGGGTCTGACATCGAAGGAAAGGTGAGAGTCATATCGATGGACTATGGAGCAGTACATACGGAGGGAAGGCGGCTTTGAGAAGGCTACGGAAGTCCGTGGCACTGACATCTGCGTCGAGGCGAATGGGATTTTCGTCGGAAGAGCCAGCTCCACCAGTGGCGTTGGCGAACATCGAATCAAAAACGGCAGCATCGCCAGGTAGGCCGTAACGGGGGACTTTGAATAGGCGGTTCTCGGCCTGTAATGACGATCAGTAATGATAATCGAAGATCTCCAGGTAAGACTCACCTGGAATACGACAGAGTGAAAGTAGAAGAGTTCGTCACGGATGGGCTCCTCGGTCGTCATTGCGGATGGAAGGGACGATATTGTAGATTCCGGTGAGGATGAGGACGTCCAATGATCAATCTCGGATAAAGGCATGCGGCTCGTCGGAGGACTGAGCGAAGCTACATTCTGCATGCCTATGCTTAGCCTCCTTATCTACAAGAGGTCTGAGGGCCCGGTGATGCAATCGTGCCACGTTCCAGCTCCTGAGACCCTACAACACGAGGTTGGAGGCAGGCAAGCTTCCCAGGATCGGAAAGAGCGTAGGAGGAAGGGGAGGAATGCGCCCCTTCTTGGTGCGTTGATCTCGGTCTCCTCAGATATGCTTCAGATCGCAAAGGGTCGAACGATCCATACAGACAGCCGGAAAGGCACACGCAATGATTCCCGATGCTTTCTCGCAGTCGATAGATTAGGACACGGTGGTTGAAGGAATGAAAGCGAGAGCACGGGTAACAACAGCACAATCAACGCATTGTGACTCTGCGTGACGTTGTGCGTCACCGTCGCGGCGCGCGACGCGTCCTTTAGCGAGACGTTGCGTTGCGCATGCGTCTTACCGCCACCTATAGGACGTGTTTGGAGTTCACCGGCTGCGACGAAGTGAACAATGTAATCTATCAAAGCTGCGCGCGCGCCCACGCTGCTTGCTCTTCATAGCCCAAGCACATCGTGGAGATCATCGGTGGGGAGGCCCCGGCGCCTCTATGCGTGCAGCGGCTAAGCTGGTGGTGGTATTGTCCCTACTGCTGAGTACATGTGGCGTGGGTTACCCTGGCCCAACGGCTTTGCCATAAAGTGAACCTATGTACGACGAGCGCACTTCCGGAAGTAGAAGCTGGCTGATGCCCTAGGACGTTCATCTCACTCTGAGGAAGTTCAAAGGCTAATTCACTCGTGTTGCGCACCGGTGGTCGCAGAATATCAACAAACGTTGCAGCTTTACGCAGATCTCGTGGCGCATCAATCGCACTCATCTCACGTTCTCTCCTCAAAAGCCAGACATATCTGGCTCGCTTTCGAGACATCTGTACAACGATTTTCGGTTATGTGCGCATCATTTGACAGTCGTCCAGGCTTCCATGTAGCACAGCTGCTCATGCGGCGCTTGGCAAGCACATGGGCGCAAGCTCTGAGCTTGGTCCCCGTCGGTATGCCAATGCTCCGCAGGAGGCCTGCGCATCACGGTGATCTCCATTACAGTTTTATTTGACTGAGCTTTCCACATAATTGAGGTGCAAGTTGCCCGCTGAGTACCCCGGAATTACCAGTGCATCGCTCGGCAGTGACGGCATACCAGGTATGTGGACATGGATGTTCAGCCGAATAGATCCTCACTTGTTTTTTTTCTTCCAGTTCTTGAACTAAAAGACAGCGTGGCAGACCGCTCGCGTCGAGAGATATGTCCACGCAAGGTTGTACTACGCGTAGCTGCATTGTCTTGGTCCAACCCAAGAATATCCTGTCAGGCTTGACCACGGTGAATTTGTGCCGAATGCTGAACGTTTCAAAGTAACGTGTCGCTTCGCGCAGGTCTTCTTCGCCTTGCCGGGGTCTACAAGCCGCGTTGGTCATGCTTGTACGTCTTCTATACCCCCTATTCTATGAGTCGCGCAGGCAGTACGCCGCCGCTCATATTTTCTGAGGTATGCACTGCGAGTATAAGTACGGATCGCCAGAGACACCATCAACCAGCACCCTCAGTCTCTCGCTCTACTTCAGTCACTCCATCTCTCTTCCTTCCACAACATGAAGCTCCTTCTCTCCACCGTCCTCTCTGCCTTCGCGCTTTGCGCTTCTGCCGCTGTGTATGTCGCTCTCGTTGTTCTACATACGGAGCATCCCTGATGGTCTTCACAGCATTGCTCCCGGCTCGGTGGCGAAGCTCACGTTGACCTCCAACTCGGACCTCTGCGTCGCGAGCGCGGGCACCGACGTCGGCTCCCAGCTCACCCTCGCGTCCTGCGACGCCGACCTGACGGCCTTCGAGGTTGTCCGCGCCGCACCCGGTAGTGACCCCACGCAGCTCGCGCTGAACGCGACCTTCTCAAGCGGCGGACCCATCGCCTGCATCAGTGCGAGTGGCGTCGCCAACGACGGGCCGCTGTTCCTCGACGTCTGCGAGGACGACCTCTTCCAGCGCTGGAACGTCAATGGCGGTACCACGCAGGGCCCGATCGTGAACGCTGGCCAGACTGCCTGCTTGACTGCGGCGGCCAACACGGAGGGAAGCGCTGTAAGTACCGTTGTTGATCACCCTCGACAATGAGTTGACATCTGCATGTCTATCAGATCACGTTCTCGACATGCTTTGGCGAGGACACTCAGGAGTGGACGGCAACCCTCGTTTAGGACGGAGCTCCGTTTTTCCTCGAGCCATTCTTGCCTTGACAGTGCTCCAACGAACCTCTTCATTGAACATTGGACAATATATCGGACTTCCTGAGCGCTGATGTACCTGCTACTACATGACTCCTGTACCTTCGACGTGTGGTAGTCAGCACGGAAATGTCATCGTTCATTGCTTTATAATTGGTTCTTGGGCAAGGTCCATACATTGTCGCAATCGGTCTTAGTACGCCAGAGACCACATCAAAATGTCGTGCACCCCTCTAGAAACCTAAGCCTGAGGGTGTACACTAGCTGCGCCGTGACAGCAGTCTGCACTCGCTGAGACTCTCATAACCCTCCGAACTCCTTCTCAACAGCTACTTCAAAGTCGACAGTAGCCCAACGATCAAGCATGCGGTTCTTCCATATACCTGTGCTGCAGCCGATGGAATGAAAAGCGCCGCTACACCAAGAGCATTGTCGCATGTCGCCGTTCACCTTGCCGTTCGTGTTTGCATTACAGAACGGAACATGACTGTGGCCGCACGCCTTGCAAGGCTCCAGGGTCTGTTCGTGTGGAAGGGGACTGTCTAGGGAAGATAGGCGACCTTGCTCGCGAACGTTCATGAGGCGTCCATACGTTTCCCAGCCGAGCTTCACCCGCTCCTCTGGCGTAATGGGATCTTCGCGACGTGCAAGAGAGCAATAGCCCTCTTTCAGCCACTTGTCGACGCCATACTTCTGGGCGAAGAGGATCTTGTCGATTACGGGCATGCTCTGTATCTCCTCATCAGCTCCGTCGACAGCCTTGTCCTTCATGCTCTCGAGATTCCATTTCTTCGCCAGCTTGAGCACGCCCATCCACTCGTCGAGAGTGAGAGCCGCGGCTAACTTTCCCGGCCTTTGCACTCATCAGGAAGAGCGCTACCTGAGAGACTAGACCACTCACGGTGGGAACGTGGCCTTCAAGAGACTACGGAAGTCCGCGGCAGTCACGTCCGCCTCGAGACGGACGGGGTTCTCATCGGATGAGCCAGCGCCATCAGCGGCTCTGGCGAACACGGCATCGAATACAGCGGCATCACCGGGGAGGCGCGAGGGACTTTGAAAAGTTTAGTACCAGCCTTGATTATGACGTGTCAGAATAGTTCGAGGATTCTAGCGCAGACATACACGCACCAGAAATACGACCGAGTGGAAGTAGAAAAGGTCGTCGTGCGTGTAGCCCTCAGTCGACATCGCCGAAGGAAGAGAGGAAGTTGTGGATGACGGGGAAGAGAAGGCGATGGATTCGAGCTCGGATTGAGCCATGATCGAGGCTTCGGGTGGATAACGAAGGAGTGTTTTCATCTAAGTACCAGACGATCTGCGTCGACCACGTACAGGCGGAGCTTGTAGAGCTTCTATAGCACTACACCACGAGGCGAAGATATGCCGGATATGGCAAGATTCTCAAGTGGCGATCCAGTACCGGCACAACTTGCAGAAAGGCAATGGTGAGTCGATCCATCATCCTTGTGACCCGACTATCGAAGGACGTGAACCTTGATCTTTTGTCGTTACAAACGCACTTGATCCCGTGTACACATCACGACCGCGACTGTTTGGCCTCACTATCCAGTGAGGGTCTCTCAGGCCACATGATGGTTGGGGTTTTGCGAAGAAAAGGGGCGGGTGACAAATGGCTATCAACGAACTGTGACTGCACGCTACTGCACGCTACGTCACGCGTCATCCCCACCCCCGGAAACGCGATCGTGTGCGCCGCAACCACAAACACTCTTGTGTTCTGCCTTCACGACTCGGCCACGCCCCGTCCACTTGTCTCTGAGTACCATGCCGAAAGACACGCGCACACCTTCCTCCCGTCAATCTCAGCTGACGTCCTTTCTGGACCCACTGGTCGTGGTATACCTGAAGCGGAGGGTCGTAATCCGACGCGACGCGGATTATCAGGTGCGCACGATGTTCTCCGTATTGCTCTTATCTAAACCATGGCACATAGTCTACGCTTTCTACCATCAAGCGCTCTTTGCGGGCACTAGCGCATGTACCCGCCTCAGATATCATCATCAAGTCCAACACCATACCCCATCAAGAAGGCGAGTATGTAGACATCTCGGAAGACGCGTGGCCAGATCTTGTCGCTCGGTCATACCTCAGAACCGTGACAGTGGAACTCGAAGAGCCCATTGGGCACCCAGGTCGGTACTTTCGATAACGCTCCTGCTTGTGCTCACCTTGCCGTTCAGTTGTCCGTCCACCTCCGTTCCCATTACCGGCGCCGATTCCTCGCTCCCTTCCTGGAACAACAAACAACACTCACAAGCCGAGCCTTCGTCTGGAATTCACAGATTATGCTCAGACTATACATGTTAACATGAAATACAACATGAGGATTGCATCAGCCCTACCGCTTGTGGCGGAGCGACTAGGGAAATGCCGGGACTCAATCCGTATGACGTATGAAGGATCACGCATACACGACGACGAAACAGCGTCGATGCTCAACATGGAAGACGGAGACGTTGTTTACGTGAGCATCGAACAAGTAGGTGGGAAACCTGTCATATATCTTTCACCTCCGAGCTCCGGACCGGCCATCGACGCGACTGTCGAACTCGAACTCTCTGCGCCTTGGTCCCTTTCAGCACTATATCCCGTCCGACCTGGTTCCATCCGTACCGATTCTTCGTACGGCCAGAAGACATCATGGACTGTACGCGCAGACCCTTATGGTGTCCTCTATGATAAGGCGACCGAGACCGAAGTCTCGTATCTCTATTGGGAGGCTATGTAAGTGTCCTATCCTAGCTAGGCTTTTGACGAGTTCTGACCCGGTGATAGCACTAACCCACCCCGGCCCCTCACTCCGCCTGCCTCTCCTCGGTCCAGTCCGGCCTTGGTGGAGTTCGATCCCTCGCGCGCGAAGCTATCTTCAATGGATTCGGTCCTTCTACCCGTGGACAAAGTACCTACGTACCTTGACAAGGCTCTCGCAGCACTCGCTTTGCATACAGAAGCGCGTACATCTTTCATCACGTATGTCCCCAATACCATCATAGTCACAGCAGTTCTAACGCCTGCCGTACAGATACTGGCTTCCATCCATTCTCAAGCACGAGCGCGTCGCGCTCCGCTTTGTACCGCAGGCCGAGTACGAGCAAGCCGCTCGTCTCACCGTTATTCCCTCGCCAGACGTCGTGACCCGCGTCTTCATGGTCTTCCGCGGCGTGAGCGAGCGTGAAATGACCGAATGGGAGCCTGCGGTTGAGCGCGCCGGCGAGGATGTTGCGTTCTGGAAGGATGTCGTTGGGATTGATGCGAGTGCGGCACAAGATGCGTCGCTCTTCCGCGTACTTGAGTGGGGTGGCATGGAGGTCCTTTTTTGAGCGCTTCCCATTTCGACGCCTTTGACAACCCAGGATGGTTTCCAGTCGTCTCTAAACTCACGTTACATTGTGTCCTCACTGCTTGGATAATGCCGCTTGTGCTCACGTTCACTTGTGTACTACTTAGTACATACATCTATTTGATTACCGCACTTCTTGGCTCCGCCCTTTAGTAGTAGTATGTTATTACTCTTCCTAGTGTGCTCCTGGGGTCGTTACAGTTGGCTTACTTGGCACTGAGTATCCCAATCCAGTGGGCCGTTCATCGGAGTGACAACGCGTGACGCAACGCGTCCTCCGCAGGAGCCGCGCGCCGTCCGCGTCGCTGTTGCAGTCGACGGCCATCATCCGGCGCAGACATCCCCAACATCCCTCGAGACAGATGGCAAGAGTCAACAACGTTACGAATACACATCACACAACGACTGCACCCGTCCTAGATGCGCTCGTTGTCGTGTATGGAAACCGGAAAGTAGCCATCCGGCGCGTCGCAAACTACCAAGTGCGAAAATCTGCTATCCGCATTGACTTGGCTCACGTTGGAGTCTCAGGCTACGGTGACCTCTATCAAACGGTCTGTCAGAGCTCTCGCTCAGGTAGCGACCCCGAGCATTATCATCAAGTGCAATACTCTGCCTGAACAAGACGGGGAATACATCGAAATCTCTGAAGACGCGTGGCCAGATCTGATCTTCCGCTCGTATCTCAAGAAAGTTGAAGTCGAAGTGGATACCTCGAGTCTTGCACATGGTTCGTCTTCTGCTCACGACTTAGAACCGAACAAGTTTGTTCCTCATAAGCGGGTCCAGCTGTCCCTGGCGACACACTCGATCGTTCAAGACAGCCCGGCACCTCCACTCAGAAAGCTATGAACATATCAGTTGTATCAATCACTGGAATGCCCCTCCTCAAATGCAAGGTTAATCCCACTACAAGAGCTGGTGGTATACTCAGCGCCATAGCCAGTAAGCTTGACGGTGGGCTTTGCGTGAGCGATATCGCTTTAGTATATGGGAACATCAACGCCCGCGAGGAGGATACCATGGCAGTACTCGGAGTGAAAGATGGCGATAGTGTTGCATATAGACTCAGGATGCTTGGGGGGAAACCGGTCATCTATCTTCAACCCCCAAGTGCTGGATCAGCTGTCGACGCTACCGTTCGCCTATCACTATCGGAGTCTTGGTCATTGTCGGCACTGTATCCTATACGGCCCGGCTCTACCTACGTCGATTCATCCTACGGACAAGAGACTTCATGGGCCGTGCGCGCGGATTCGAATGGCATGCTCTACGATAAAGCGACTGAATCAGAGGTTTCGTACCTCTATTGGGAGGCTCGGTACGCGCCTCGGCAAGTGCAGCTCTTACTACCTCACTCAGATATATCTTACTTCATAGCACGAATCTTCCGCCCCCTCTTACACCGCCCACGTCGCCCAGCTTAACACCATCCGCAGTTGCATTCGACCCATCACGCGCCGAAGTCTCTGCCTCAGACTCTGTCCTTCTTCCAGTGGACAAGATTCCGGGGTATTTGGACCGGGTACTGGCTGCGCTATCCTTGCATACCGAGGCGCGCACCTCTTTTATCACGTATGTAGTCCCTAATCAATGCATGATATACTGCTGACGCTGGTCTTCCAGCTACTGGCTTCCGTCAATGTTGAAGCACGCGCACGTTGCTCTCCGCTTCGTACCTCAATCGGACTACGAGCACGCGGCTCGTCTTACAGTAACTCCAGCGCCAGACATAGTAACACGTGTCTTCATGCTGTTCCGCGGCGTAGAGGAGGGCGAGATGGCCAATTGGACTGCTGCAGTCGACCGGGCGGATGAGGACGTCGAGTTCTGGAAGGGCGTAGTTGGCGTCGATGTGGCATTGGCGCAGGATGCCTCGCTCTTTCGAGTGCTCGAATGGGGTGGAATGGAGGTCCTCACTCGTTGAGTTCGGCGCAGTGATAGGTCTGGTGGCGGCGCCATCAGCTCACTGTGGGCTTTCCCCTTAGCAGTCCCGCCATCGCACCACCCGTGCTGGCATCGGGTATTGCTGTCTTGCGTCAACTACAAATACGTGAAGATGGCAGAGATGGAGCAGACCATGGTATCGTGTCCTTGAGGAAATGAGGGTAAAAACTAAGTACAAGACGGTACGCAGGTAGAACGTCTGGTCCCGGTCGACGGCTGACGATTGCGGTCGAGCGGGTGCATCGTCTACAGACGGTGTGATCACGTAGTCGGAAGATGCCATAGCGCGGGTGTCGTGTAATGGGGTGGAAAGATGGATTTGTGGGCATCTTCATGTCCGCGTATAGAAATATAAGGGGGCGTTCAGCAAAGTCATTGAAGCGCGCATGATCTTCGCCACTCTACACCAAGAGGCTATTAGCCCGAATGTTCCTTTCGGTCACCACGCCCTTTCGGGAAAACTCGGACAGGAAGGCGCATGCAATCCGAGTCTAGACGCAATGAGCGAGCAGAGCGCTGGAGGCAGATTGGGGTATACACATCCCAAGATGCTGTCTGCCAATACAGCGAATCAAGCGGGCAGGTGATAGATTGAGATGGCAGGAACGCACACTCTACTAGACAAAGTACAGCGCTATCAGCTGGAGCCAGTGTATCCTTTCATGTTATGTAACTCCTTGCCGAACTCCTCCCTTACCAGGTCACCGTATGGAGTAGGATGCGGCAGGTGATCCTCGAGGCTTTTCGATCCCGACAGGATGATGCTATGCGTGAAATCGCATTGGTGACATGCACCCGCAACGCCCTTCCCTTTCCCTGATGGGGAAGTATCCACGAACGCGACGAGCTGTTTCCACGCTCCCGCTCGCCCACGTTCGCGAACATCCATGAGCCGCGCGTATACCTCCCATCCGAGCTGCTTTCTGACCGTAGGGTCCAAAGGCTTGTCCACAGAAGCCAGCGCGACGAGCCCTTCTTCGAACCATCGCGCGACGTCGTACTTCTTTGCGAGTACAATCTTTTCAATGGGTGTTTTGTGTTGCATCTGTAGGGAGAGGCCGGAGACGGCTTTGTCGCGTACGTCGGAGAGGGACCAACGTTTGGCCAGTTTTAGGGCGGACATCCATTGATCCACTGTGAGCGCTGGTAGCTGATCGGAGCTATTACAGTATGTTGAGTGCATTGCATGATGGTGTGTGGTGAGTGGCTTACGCAAATGGGCGGTACGTGATCTTGAGTAGACTTCGAAAGTCATCAGCCGTGATGTCAGCATCCAGCCTGACAGGACTCTCGAGGTTTGAACCAGCGCCGCCGAAGTCAAGTGAGAACAAGCTGTCAAAGTAGTTTGAATTGGCGGGTAGTCCAGATCGCGGTACATTGAAGAGGGTGTCTCCTGCCTGGATATCGCGATCAGTCAAAGATCAGCGCATCTTTACGTGCCCGAGAACACCGAACCTGCAGGAACACCGTACGCAAGAAGAACTCGTCGTCTCTTTTCAGGGCTGCAGTAGGCGTTCGTACTGATTCTTCATTGCGCTGTTGCCTAGCCGCGTTCACGGATGCAGATGATGAAGCCCGTGAGACTGCCGCAGACGCCGATGATGAGGCGCGCGTCGGCGAGGACATCGACGCCAGGCTTGGCCGGCTCGCATACGATTTGGACTCGTCGACGGGCATCGATGTCGATGAAAGATGGAGAGAAGATGTTCGCGACTGGAGAGGTCACGGTAGATATACCTATCTGATCAGAAGATATCTATCTTGCGGGCGCGCAAACACGAGCCCACTGCGCGATGGTTGAATTGTCGGGCTTTCTCCCAGGTGAAGTGACTCGAAGATGGTCGTAGAAGGTTCTCGCAGTCGAAGATCAAGTGTGCCACGAGCTAGTATTGCGAGTAAAGTACAGTAACCGGGTACAAAGGGTGTTGAGGTTCGGATAAACCTGACACGGCTATGCTCCTTGCAAACACGTCCGTCTCCGCGCTACGAGCTGGGCGCCGCGCCGACGGCGGCTGCATGAAACGGCGGAAACGGACTAACCGACATGACAAGCGCGCGTCAGCGGGGCCATTCCCAGCACTCCGAAAGCCGGACAAAGCGAGCTGTGCGATGAAGAAAAAGAAGCAAAAGTCGATAGCGACGAGGTGTATAGGATGACGGTGCTGTAAAGCTGGTGACGGTTGAGAAGAAAAGCTGTACGTACGGTGGCCCTGAATTGAACGAGGCGATGCACGTGGCAAGGCAGTGATGGGGTAAGGGGATATCAGCACAAAACCCGCGGCTATCGACGTGACGAAGCGCGGCGACCGCTCCTCGAGTCCTCGCAACCACCACCAACTCCCGCACACCCGCTCACGACCCACCCACCATGTCAGAGATTCGCAGGAAGCTCGTTATTGTCGGCGACGGTGCTTGCGGAAAGGTGCGTTATATTCCAGAATAATATCGACGACATGCGGGCCGCCCAATCCCGGTCGTCGTACGACAACGAGCAGCTTCACTGACGCTCCTTGCTCTTCACAGACCTGTCTTTTGATCGTCTTCTCCAAGGGAACTTTCCCTGAGGTGCGTCTTCGCTCTTAGGGCCGCCGTACTTGCGCCTGTCGTGCTGAACGAGCACGTGCAAACCTCCAGGTGTATGTTCCCACCGTGTTCGAGAACTACGTCGCCGACGTCGAGGTCGACGGCAAGCACGTCGAGCTGGCCCTTTGGGATACCGCCGGCCAGGAGGACTACGATCGTCTGCGCCCGCTCTCGTATCCCGACTCGCACGTCATCCTTATTTGCTTCGCTATCGACTCGCCCGACTCTTTGGACAACGTTCAGGAGAAGGTTCGTATCATTATCCTTTATCTTTCATTTCTCGAGCTGTCAAGCAGTCCTGCTGTGCTCGCCACACTTGTTGGTTGCACGTCTAGTGGCGTGGCGCGCATCCTCGCTTACCGGCCCCGAACTTGTTCTGATTTGGAAATAATGAGTCGATATACTGACGACCCTCCGACAGTGGATCTCCGAAGTGATGCACTTCTGCGCCGGCCTCCCCATCATCCTCGTCGGCTGCAAGAAGGACCTTAGGCGCGACCCGAGAGTGATTGAGGAGCTCCGCCGGACCTCGCAGCGGCCCGTATCGCCTGAGGAGGTCAGTCATTCACTTCTCACGTCACTACTCCCCACAAGCACATGCTGAACGCGTTGCAAACACATTACAGGGTGCACAAGTCGCGCAGCGCATCGGCGCGAAGCAGTACCTCGAGTGCTCGGCCAAGACCGGCGAGGGCGTTCGCGAGGTCTTCCAGTACGCCACCCGCGCAGCCCTCATCGCCCGCCCAGGCGGCCGCAAGAAGCACGGTGGCTGCCTCGTGCTCTAAGCTGCTTGTCGCCACATACCCCCCGGGCGCTCTGCTGCGCAGGATGGAATTCTGCCCCTCTTTGTCGTTGTCACCTACACCTGATGATGATGCGTCTTTGTATACTTCCTCTGATTCCGCATCCCTCTATCCAAGTCCTGTGTCGGCCCTGCAAGCCTAGGCGTCGTCGTCATCGGGCCGTAATCCCTCTTTACACTCTCGCGATCCTCTCTCGACTACGTTTTACACTGTCTCCTGCATGGACGTGTCCTGCCGTGCGCGGTGGCTCCTGACCTTACCAATCTCTTTTCCGCATTACCTATCTTGCCTCTGAATGTCCTGATGCGATATACGACTGTTCCCGGCTGAAAATGGTGTCCTGCAGCGGCGCTCGAGGTGTGAAGTTGTTGCCTATAAGGCATAGAGCACGAAGGGGATGATTGCAAGAGGCTAGGGCAATCGCACTTGCGTGATGAGCGTATACCTACACACGTAGTGATGGCTGGCTTCGGGCAGTCAGGCATGATCAACTACTTTCCATAACGGATGGTCAACTTCCCACTTCGCTAACACGTGTTGTAGGTCTGCGCGTCGTGCCCGAATCAGAAGAAACGGTGATATAACCACTCACGAGCATTTCACGGACATCTCCCTCCTTGCCTTCGGCGCAGAACTAGTGTGTCGCCAGCACATCGATGGTGTCCAACGCTTCCTCGTCTCCGATGACGCCAAACCAGTCTCCGAAGCACGACACTTTCTTCTACTGCGACACCGTCGTCTTTCAAGTGAGTGGACTCATGACAGCGCTGGGCGTGCTGGGACTGATCAAGTTGCGGCACAGGTCGAAGACACTCTCTTCAGCATACCGCGCTATGGGCCGGCGAAAGATGGCGCGTTTGACACCCTCTTCGAGCCTCCTTGTGGCGCCCTCTCTGCTGGGACTCACGACGATGAACCCATCTTCCTTGCTGATGTCAGCGTCTCCGAGTTCCGCTTGCTCCTTCGGATGATATGCTTGTGTGTCCCCTTTCTCATTGATCCTGAGTGTGTATCTAACTCTTGTCGCAGTGACCCGGACCACATTGCGACGTTCGACACGCTGGATGAGTGGACATCAATCCTTCGCCTTTCTACTAGGTGGTCTCTGGGGAGCATCCGTGCTGCGACCATATCCGGTGCCAAGTCTCTTGTCAACAAGCTTCCCATCGTAGAGAAGATACTCCTTGCTGAGCGCTGTAACGTCCAGGAGTGGCTCGAAGAGGGATATGAAGCTCTCATCGGGCGGGAAGCGATGATCACTTCTGAGGAGAGGGATATGCTTGGATGGGAAACGTATGGACGCCTCATGGAGCTTCGCGAGAAATGCTGGGTAGACACGAAGGGGGTGAAGAAGATCAGTGCTGCAGCGGCCAGGGGGATGGGGGCCACGGGGAGCCAGAAGAAGAAAGGGAAGAAGGGAAAGAGGTAAAGGATGAATGTTTTACTATGCATTATCAGCGCTGTACAATTAATTGCCATTCGTAGCATGACAACTGCCTGTCACCTTTTGGGGCAGCCTCTGACACACTGCTGCCGCCCAATCACCGATAACGAGAGTCCAGGCGGTTACTACAAGGGGAAAACTCGCAACCATGATGAGTTACCTGGGAAGCAGTCTTTCGCATTGATACCTCGTGTTGTAGAGCCCAGTGATGGCTTCTTTTGAACGAAGTAGTGCCTTGCCTATTACCGTCCGACTCGACGCCGGATTGTATAAAGCTTTCCACCCTCGACCCTGCGATGCATGGCTTGTACTTCTGACGTTGAATCGCTGCCCTCGTCCATGCCCTCGCCTGCTACCTCCATGGCTTCTCTCTCGTCCACGAAGACCATCAAGCGCGACGACTTCTTCTACTTTCACAGCCTTGTCTTCGAGGTGTGTGGATGATGATACGTTACCCTAATCACGAATCTCTGACTTTGCTCGCTGAAGGTCGAGGATACGCTGTTCAAAGTACCCCGCTACGGGCTTCCCGGCGATGGCGCTGCCTTTGACACTATGTTCGCCCGTGGGCCGGGCGCTCCGGGCTCGAGCGACGACGATCCCATCCGTCTTGACACCGATGTGACGGCCAGCGAGTTCCGCAGTATGCTAAAAGCAACCTATCCGCCGTGCGTCACCACCATCTAGATTCATATCGCACTCGATGTACACTGTGCTGAAACCTATACAGGCCAGGTACGACGGTTGCTGAGCTCACGCTCGACGAGTGGATGAGCGTGCTCAAGCTCGCAAAGAAGTGGAACCTCGCGGGTCTGCGGGATAAGGCTGTCCAGCAGTCCGATACCCAAGTGCAGCTCAAGACACCTATTGAGAAGATTTTGCTGGCCCGACAGTACGACGTGGGCAAATGGCTGAACGAGGCCTACATTGCTCTATCATCACGCGAAGAGCCGCTTTCCGTTCAGGAGGTTGAAAAAGTAGGCTGGGAGACGACGGCGAAGCTCATGATGGTTCGCGAGAAGAGGTGGCGGACGCCGCAGACGCCACCAAAGGCCACCGTTAAGTGTACCGGCTGCCAGTCCACTCCGTCATGCTACAGTTGTCACTATAATAGAGGTTGTAGCTTTGCTATTGAAGCTGTCATCGATACGAGTACCATTGTTTCTGGCACGTTCAATTACGCTAACGCAGTTCAGGACGTTTTCGGGAAGCCTATATTTACGTAGTAAAACAGGATTATCTTCAGTGTTTCATCTGATATGACGACTAGTGAGCGGCCATTCATACACCGCCCAGCGGGGTTACGGCCTGTAGTCTTTATCTCTAGCGAGGTCCGCGGCGAACAATTGCTTTACTTTCCGGCGGAAGTCGTACTGCGTGCGAGAACGACCCTGGCGCTTCTCTGCCCAGCGCATGCTACGCTCGCGGAGCTCCATAACCTTGAATGACCTGGTGGTACCCAGAAGCTCACGCTCCTGTGCGTTCAAGAGGGCTAGCCTTCTCCCGAGCTCTTCGTACGCTCTGATCATCCAACCTGATACGCGCAACTCTCGTCCGACGAGGAGTCGCTCGACAGGTGGATAGTTTGCAGGGAAAAGTTCCTCGCTTCGCGCGATCGCGTTCGCTCGTAGCTTATCCATACACCATATCGTGGATACCTTGGCGACAGCAAGCCATTCTTGTAGCACGAGCCTTGAGTCTCCGTGCCGAACGCTGACCAGGGATCGCACATCAGCCCCACACTTCGGAGTGTTCGTCGATATACTCACAGAGGATGACATGCTTTCAGCAAGCTTTGGAAGTCGTGCGCTGTCACTTGAGATGGGAGAACGATAGGGTTGTCATCGCTGGTACCATCGACTGTGCCCTCAACTTCAGGTAAGGTGAACATATCCGAGAACACGCCCTCTTCCGGCAGCCCGAAGCGCGGAACCTTGAAGAGCGTATTGCCAGCCTGGCCCCGGACAGAGTTCAATTGTATTCCATGGATGGATGAGTTGGCGAAGACACTCACCTTGAAGATGATCATGCTCTCGAAATACATGCTCTTGTGTCTAGTGGCAGGGCCTCGCGACTCCTCCAAGGATCCAATCAACAGAGTTCCAGGCACTGGCGTTTCGGAGCCCAGTAATGATGTAGGAGAAGGAGGACGGGAGAAAGTATCTGAGACGACTGGGGATACCGCACGCTGGGTGGCTTCTGGAGGCTTTCGTGCGAAGCCTCCGCCAAAGGCTGACGACGTTGAGGCTGGCGTTGATGAGGCGGACCCGAAGCTGAAAGGATTGGGGGATGGAACAGATGGGCCTCCGCCTTGTTGCTGCGGGGCAGAGGGAGCTCCGAAAATGCTTCTGCCAGTGGAGGAGGGCTGCATGCGTGCAGGCTGTCCGCCGAACATCTCTGGTGAGTCGCCGATGGGACTCAGACAAGATTCAGCAAAACGGAGAATGGGTCAGGGAGTAGTAATATCTCGATTCAGATTACAAGATCAGCTCCTATATTCCACAGTGCTACCGATACGGTTGGCCCGTTAAGATATGTAGTCTGATGATGGTTCACTTGTAAGATCACTATCGGCACGAGGGGAGCAAGTAAAGTGGCTTTCTCGCGTGCGTACCACGCGACCCCGGGCCGCGCGCGGCCCGTCTCTGCTTCTGCGCCAGTAATTACTACCATGATATTTCCAACACCCACAAGTCTTATCTGACTGGTCCCTTGTCTAGCCTTAGATGAGCTAGTCTCATGCATATTTATGTTGTCTGTATCACTGTCGAGGATTTTCCCCACCCGCCTTAGAGTTGAGCGCCGAGCGTCGCGTGGCATGGCGATGATCGTCGTTTGCCAGGATTCGAAAGCTCACTCGGAGCACCTCCCCTCTTAGGCATGACCCGAGTTCCTCGCTCAACTTATAAGACTACAGGTGAAATATATAATAGCATACATAGCGGACAGGCATGGACATGGCTCTGTGCCATCTACCTCGGGCGTTTCAACTTCCCATCAGTATGAATCCGTCTACCACATATCATAGAATCGGTCTTTCTCCGACATTCAGTCCAGATCTGAGTCCGAAAAGCCAAACGAGAGATGCTATAGGTGCAATAAAAGTCAGTTGTGATGGCTGTATCAAATGATTGCTGGTTCACCGATGCAGGTTTGGGTATCGGCGCCACCAAGGGAGTGCCCGGTTTCCTGTAATCGGCGTCCTTACACAGTTCGTCCCCGAAGATGTCGTGTATCTTGGCGCGAAAGTTGAACTTAGCTCTGTTCCTGCCTTCTCCGGATGCTGCCCATGCCCAACTTTTCTCTCGCAGATGGACTAGTCGAAAGAACGTCTCGTGTCCCATGCAGTCGCGTTCGTCCCGGCTAATTCCATCTTTTCGTTTGCATATGGCCTCGTACGCGTCGATTAGCCAGCTTGAGACGTTGTATCGTTTTGACAGCGCAATTCTCTCCGTCAGCGGCATCTTGATGACGCTCACACCCGTCTCCTTGATCGCTTGTGCTCGTAGGTCATCGAGGCACCACTGGTCCGAAAGCTTCAGGACGCCCATCCATTCATTCACGTCAAGTTGCTGCATCTGAGACCGTGGCCTGTCAATGTCAGATGAGAGAATTACAATTAGCTGGATACGGTACTCACATCGGTACACATGCTTTCAATAAGCTCTTGAAGTCCTGCGCTGAGATCTCTGGTGGTAGGACGATCGGGTTCTTGTCTTCAGACCCTTCTGTGTTTGGTCCCTGCGGTAACGCAAACATCGAAGCGAACACGCCATTCTCCCCGGAAGGCAGCGCGTAACCTGGCACTTTGAACAACGTGTTCTCCGCCTGTTCAAGACGTAAAGATCAGCGCGCTCCATGTTGAACATCTATCTGGCTCACCTTGAATACGACGCTCTCCATGTAGAAAACGTCGTCCTTGCGAGACTCGTCTTTCGAACGGGTAGAGGAAACATTGCGACCAGTCATGGCGGTAGAGGACAAGGATGAAGAGAAGCTACATGCGCTATCTGCATTCTATAGCATGCGGCCACGAGGCTGCCTGCCATTGGTAAGTTCGCAATCTATGGGCGCCAACAGACTTCCTTCATTGAGGACACATCACAATCGCATGAAAGGTATGTCTTCGAGAACAACGATACGTGTACAAAGCAAGGGTCCAAATTGAGAGGGCAGACAAGTGCAAAAGGATACGACGGTCAGAAGTGGTCCTGTCTGGCGGCAGTGGAGGCACCTACAACGAGGTATGAGATGGGTATCGCGCGATGAATGATTGAAGGAAAGTAACTCACATATGTACTCGTTCCAGGGCGTCTGCGTCTTGAAATCACCCAACTCGTCTTCAAACTCCTTGACCACAGCATCCCAAAAATTATACATCGAGCGATCTCGCTGAGGGAGATCATCCTTCCAGACTCTGCTCCGCAGGTTGATGATGATGATCTTGAGCGACGTCTTGTCGCCCAACGTCCCACGTTCGTCTTCAGACAGTGGCTCGTCGCGACGAGCCAATTCTTCTGCCGCACACATCACCCAAGGCGCGACCCGCAGTCGCTGCCCGAGCGCAAGACGATCCGCCGCAGGAACAGCATCCTTCACGAATGCGTCCTCGATCTCAACGATGGCGAGCTCTCGGAGCTTCCATTCGTTGAAAGGAGGGAACGCGGAGAGCTTCAGGATTGATTCCCAAGTATCACGACTATGACTGCCTTCGAAGCGATTACCCCTACAGAGTATCCCGTTAACACTGCAAAGACATGCGCCAGATGAATGATCTTCGCTCACGACGGTCCAACTTTCAGCACCTTGAACAGGTTCTCAAGATCGAATACAGTGACAAAAGATGGCATCAATATGGGGTTCTCCTCTGTCATGCCGGGAACGTCTTCCTTCACTGCGCCATCGGAGAAGAAGTTGCCGGGCACGACGTCGTTGAAGAGCATATCACCTGCCTGTAGGGCGATCAGCAAGTGAATGCAATGCAGTCTTCGTGAGGAGCGCACCGCAAAATACACAAGGACACGGTAAAATTCTCCATGGCGGTGTCGAATTGGTTTAGAAATGGGGTTTGTCGCGATCGGAGACCCGTGGTAGACGAAATCGCTTGCAGCCCTGGGTTGTTCAGGGACGAAAGACAAGATCATCGCCAGAACGGGGAAGACATAGAGTGGGCTTAAGACGAAGAATTGCCACCGTGTCTTCGGGCAAGGGAAGCGCCGACTGAAATCGGCCATCGCACTTGCAGCAACCGACATGTGCATAGCAGCGCCGGCTCCGAAGTCCACCATACCGGCGCTGGTGGATTGCCATAGCGAGGAGGCGAAGTGAGAGATCGAGGACATGGTGGCGCGCTTGAGAGGAAGCTGGGATTCTGCTCCTTTATCTTTATCGCACAAAGACGCCGTGCATCACCCAGACCAGCATCCGACTCGTGCAAGCCACGCGTACTCTCCTCAAAGAACACTCCGGCGGGCGTACTGGGTGGACAATCAAAGTCGCTGCTCACAAGTATTCATCGAAGGAAGATCCACTGAAAGCATAGGATTATATTGCGCAGCCCCGTCAAGTTCATGTTACAGACTGTCGTTGTCGCGCACTGAGGCAGGATGAGGTTGCTGGAGGCCATCGAGGTGAGGGAAGACGAGCGCCGAGCGGCGCGTCGTCGTCCACCACACGGATCAAACCGCGTGGCCGGCCGCGTCAGGCCGATTGGCCGATCATTCTGGGCTGGGGCCTCGCTTAAAAGTGTTGCATGACGTCCTGAGCACCATGGTATATACTTCCTCAGAGGATAATGTCTATCATTGTGTGCACGTATAGTCTATACAATCATTCGTGACGGGTGTAGAGTCTAAAGTTCTACCGGATACGACAGAACTTCGAGGTGACGAAGCGGACAAAAGCTGGGCAAAAGGACCGAGTTCATGGAGGCTACAACTTTGATGACTGGGAGAATCAACGCATCTGGGATTAGGAGTCCTGGGCGCCTGCTGATAGTTAGATAGAGTTAGACGATATGCAATCTGCACTCACAAGGAGAAAACTCGAGGGGCATCAGATAATACGTCTTGTCCTTCTCAAGCTCGCCCACCAAGATAGTCCTTGCGTCGTACCAAAAGTCCGGGTAATCCTGCCGACCATGTCCAGGGATGGACGGCTGACGCTGCAGCCAGTCGCGGCTCGCGTTCTGTATCCGCATCACGACAGACGCAGCCTCGCCTCCTATCTTATCGATCTCCTCGCCCGTGAGATACTCGTCGCGCCTCGCGAGTTTCTCGCACGAGCATGCAATCCATCGAGCCACCGAGTGACGCCGACCGAGATCCCAGAGCTCTGCGGTAGATATCTGGCCTCTTAGAGCGAGTAGATTAACAGACAGGATCGCGAGTTGACGCAGGTTCTCGCCGAGGTTGTCGAAGTCGAATTGCGTATCGATGTCGGTCAGCTTTAGAATGGAGTCCCATTCCTTGAGCGTTACGCTACCACAGTCATTGCGGCGGCTACAGAGCGCGGTGATCTCAACAGAGAGCGGAAACTTCTGAAAGCTTGACACATACGCATGTTTCATGACTTTGGCGAGACTTTGAATATCGACCGCTAGGATGCTGGCCGGCAAAACGATGGGGTCGCCCTTCTTCATCCCTTGTGTCTTCCCATCGCCAAAACCGCGCTGAGCGACATCGTTGGGAAGAGGGAAAGCAACGACGGTATTCTCTGCCTGATACTCGTACGTCAGCAATACGTCGGTAGCGTGGAGAGAGAGAGCACGTAGTCACCTTGAAGTACACGGATAGACCAGTAGTGCGATAGTACCGTTGACCTCCATGATCGACTGGCGGAGTGTTGGCCATGACGACGAAGGAGACAGCGATGAAGCCAAAGAACATGAGAAGGCCGACTGGCGAAGTCGGGATGTGTAGGCCACGGAGTTTGCTGCCATGAAGGACGGCGGCGGCACCGGCGGCGCCGGCGGTAGCACCGATGTTGGCCAGACCATTGGCAGCGTTGGCCCAGAGACCATTGGCAATATGAGCGACGGCAGCCATGGGGGAGGAGGTGGAAGAGACTGAGGATGCCACACGATGGTGAGCGCAAGCTTATCTAGTGGTGCGGATTATCGCCACATGTCGAACAGGTGGTAGTAGCACAAAGGAAGAGAGCCATGCATGGCGCAGGCAAGCTACCTCGAGGCAAGGCAAACATGACTCGGATGAGATAGATGCATAGCTGCAGACATACGTCAGAGCGGAGACGCTCACGGTATCACAACTTCTAGTGGCTTGTAGTCCTTGTCCATAGCCAACTCATCGCCGAACAGCTCCTGCACCTTCCTCCTGAAGTCATACTGCGCCCTCGTACGTCCGCGTCGTTTCTCCGTCCAACGCATGCTACGCTCGCGAAGTTCGACGACCTTGACATATGCCGCCATTCCTAGCGCTTCGCGCTCCTGACCATCGACTAGTGCTGTTCGCCGTCCGAACTCTTCGTACGTCTTGATCATCCACTCAGCGATGCGGAGTTCGCGACCGAGGACGAGTCGGTCTATAGGAGATAGATCCTTCGGCAGGAGTGCTTCGCAGTGGACTATCGCGGATACACGGAGTTCGTCCAGACACCACTTCGTGGAGAGCTTGACGACGGAAAGCCATTCGTGTAACGTCAAGTACGGCATCCGTGATGCAGATGAGCTCGATACGGTACTAGATGCGCAAGTTAGGTTACTTATCTGCGTAGACATCGGGAGTAGGGCTCACAATGGATGAGTGGCCTTCAGAAGACTGCGGAAGTCGAAGGCGGTCACTTCAGCTGGTAGGACAATCGGATGATCATCGTCCTTCCCCTCAACCATTTCTTCTCCAGCAGGCAAGTCAAGCATAGCAGAAAAGATGCCATCTTCTGCTGGCAAAGCATATCTTGGAACTTTGAAGAGCGTGTTTTCAGCCTATGATACCGGCGTTAAGTGTTTGTTAGTCCAACCACACGGAGAACGATGAGGCTTACCTTGAAGATCAAGCTGTCAAAGTAGAAGCTCTCGTCCCGTTTCACAGGGCCATCCGGGTCTTCTGGCTCTCTAGAGCGCAGAAACGCGGCAATCTCGTCGTTTCGTGCCGGTACGGGGGATGATGGGCGGGAAGATGTATCCGACGGTACAGGCGATGCAGTACGGTTTTGTCCTAATTCGAGAGGTCAGTCACAGGTAGAATAACTCGCTTGAGAGTAAAATTACCGTATGTAGGCATTACAAAAGGAGTCGGGACGCCGAAAGTACCCGCGAAGGGATGCTGGTGCTGGGCTTGCTGATGCTGGTGCTGAGGCGCGTAACCAGGCGGTAAAGGGCCCCACGGCAAGACCGGTGTCTGTGGCTGTTGATGTGCCATAGTGGACTGTATACTGGGAGCAGTGCGGGCGCTACAGAGTCAGGCGCTGGTGATGATGGGTGTCAGAAAGCAAGCGACGAGAGGTGGCTGTTGCGCGCCACACATCAACCACAACCGGCGGGAATATGCCCACGCGGAAGCCACGCGTGATGCGATCAATGACGACAAAGCCAGTCCTGGCAGCTTTCCCTCGGAGACTCGTTTGCTTTCGCACTGGCACTCACGTATGTAGGAGGGTGTACGCGCTATTGATACGGCGCTCTGCTATGCCGCATCGCTCCAGGTAGGCCAAGCAGACAATGGGGATATTGAACCACCTCATCTGAAACTCGTCAGCGTGACAGCGTCGTATTCGTCGAGTATCAGCGCCACTGAGTTGCGACCTAGGCCGTAGAGCGATATAGCCGCTGCCCAATTTACTGCAAGCCATATTCGTGCGTTTGAGCAAAAGCCCCTTGAAATACAGCGTTATCAGTACGCTGCGCCTCCAGAGCACTCGGCCCGATCTGACCTACAGTCGCTACTACTAGAGAGCATCGAGAGACCTCGGTTACATGGTAGAACCTAGTGGAAGGTAGAGGTACCATCGTGTGGTATCAGTCAGGAAAACTGCCTATCGAGAGTCAGAGTTATCATCCAGCAAAGTACTAGCGACTTTGCCGTACACATATGAATGCTGATCCTGTCGAAGAAGCCCTCGGGGAGCCCGGGGACGCTCCAGCCTTCGATCTTCCAATCCCCTATCCTGCCTTCTCTCTCGAGTCGGAGTAACCTTACTAGAGTACGTTACGCTTCCAAAGCTGGGTGTTCCAGCAGTGCGTAACGCCCCATTGGGGCTCCAAGTGCGAGTGGCAGCCGTCGGACGGACGAAGCTCGGTGAGTCGGAGGCCGCGAGTTACCCATGCGTGTACGAACGACAGACAGAGCAGGAGGGCGCCAGGCACATACAGATGGCGGTTCTTCGCATTCTGAACTCTCCGCTCGGACGTTCTTCTCTGTAGAGGTCGAAGCACTCGAAGGCGCAATACCCGCAAGTCCGCCTATGCTCTGTAGAGGCTACAGAAAGCGAGGACGTCGGCGGCTCAAGCCTTCGTATCGATCAAGGACAGTCCCTCGACGTCTGCGAGCGCGTATCGATTGGAGGTTGAGGCAAGCCCTGCACCCGAGCTCTATTCACGAGGGACCTTTGTTCCTCAAACCTCGGGACGCGGGGCCTGGAAGCAGGCACGCCACACCGGAAGTTTGCAGATGTTGGTATGCTTCCGTGCCACGCGCGTCTGTCTTACCTCCGGCGCCCGTATCCGCTCTCCCGTAGCGGCCGCGTCCGATGTGAGCGAACAGGTCTGCAGGTACGACAGCGCGGGGACAGAGCAGCGTTCAGCCAGTCCGACGCGTATACCTATGCTGACCGAGTCAGAACCGATTCTGAGGATGGACAAGCCGGCATGAGAGTATGATGCGAGATAGATCGCAAGCGAAATAATTGCTTGTATGTGTGGAGGATGCGATATGACGGGGATGCGATGGGAGTGGAGGGATGGTTGGGTTGGTAGGAAATACAGACTATATTACGAAACGAGCCGATGACAAGTAAACACAATAGACAAGGATATATCAAATCAGACAGTTGCAAGTCCTGCGGCCCGCTCCGGGAAGATGGAGCTGCCGCCTCGGGAGCCCAGGCAGAGGAAGAGAGGAAAGCGGATGGGGGGAAAGCAGGTGCGATGTGCAGGTGCGTGATGTGGAGAGAAAACGTATGGAGGATGGGGAGTAGATCCGGGGCTGTACAGGATGACGCGCGCTGACGGTCATCGCTCAACCTGCCGTGGTGGCGGCGCGTGCAAGGCGTGGGGGTCGTAATGTGAAGGTGCCGCCGGTGTGCATGGCCGTCGGCGAACGGGCCATGGCAGGTGACGGTCCCGTCGGCGCGACAGACAGGCGAGGATTGCCGCCGGCATGCATTGAGCGCTCCCATTCCTGGAGACAGCGCACGAAGCCGGAATTGGGTTTTATGCACGCTCGTCGGGAGCGTACGTAGGCGAGGGCGGCGTCGAAGGTCATGCCTCGTTTCCTCATGAGGTACGCGATCACGATAGACGCCGAGCGGGAGATGCCCTGTACATGTCGTGAGAAGGGGCTCGGGCGAGCATCGGGAAGATGACGCTTACCTGCTGGCAATGGACAAGTACATTCTTGCCGCGTTTGAGGGCGGCATCAATACGCTCGACGGCGCCTTCGAGATGGGGCTTGAGATCATGCGACTCAATGTCGAGGACATCCATCCGGTAGCACTCGTAGCCCTCCTGCTCGAGCGGCGGCAGCCATGGGACGTCCAAAACCTGAACGAGGACTGCGATGTGATGCTGACGCAGATTGGCAGAGTCCATGACGGCGCTTAGCGAGCCGAGGTAGAGGGCACCGGGCGCAGAGGGAGTCTGGTTGGGTGGGAGGATGAGGTGCATCGGCGTGCACATCGCCTCGGTCACCTCTGGCGACATATTCGAAAAGCTGATCATCGTGGCAGGCGACAAGGAAAGCAAGGGGCAGAATGGCGGCCGATTGTGATTATTTGGGGCGAATGTTTATGTACGTCGGTCTGGGCCAAGTCGAATCAGCCGTGATGCATGACGCAGCGAATCCGTTGCAGCAGCTTCAGGCTCGCAGAACTGGACTTACCGCTCTTGTTTGCGAAGGAAAAGATCCCAGGTGGTTACTTACCATCATCCTCAGTCTCGCACGACCCTTTATAAGATACCCGTACGGCGCTAGTGCCAGCTCATCCAGTAGAAATTGCCCCGCTCGCGCGACAGTGGCACGAGGTGTACGTTTCATGCACCCCACGCTCCACTTTTCTGGACCGCCTGCCAGCATCGCGGTTCGGCGCCTGCGAGCGTACGGACACGCCTTGGCGCACACCCCATCATCAAAGAGCGCTCTAGAAGAGGCAAACTCGAGCACTCGAGCTCGTACGGAAGGTAGATGGCAGGGATCGGATTACCACGCCGCTCGCGAATGGGGCCTTGCACGGGGCTATCCACGCTCGGCGGCCGCCCGTCTCGATATGGGATTTCTCTGCTGCAGACGTGCCTCTTTGTGCCCGTGCGTGCCTTCGGGCACAGCTGCGAGCCCTGACGCCATACGAACATTTTACCGTAGCGTACGTAGAAGGCCGGTCAAAAGGCCGAACAGCGCAAATAACGCTAGGCGGTACGCGCGGAATATACCACCCATCTTTCTGCTTAGACGCCCATCTGTACCACGTCTTCCCCTAGTTGCGCGAGCACGGCGGACGAACAGTCAACGATTCGACATCCGCGCGCACGCTCATCTCGCGTTTTGCACTCGGACAGCTGGTCAACTTCCCGTCCTTCATCTCTTGTATCACAGTATCTATCTGCTTCTAGTGGCCCGAGGCCGCCGTACACGCCTCCGCGGCTACATTGTGGCACCTTCTGCGGCTATTGAGCGTACATAGCCGTCCACAACTCTCCGGTACTTCATCTCGATAGCTCACGCGCTCTGACCGTACACTGCCCTGTCTATTCTCGGTGGATCAATTGACCCAAGATGAAGAGCTCGTCTGGGCTCTGGTTTGAGTCAGTGGATGCAGCTAGAACGCCGTCCAGGCCAAGACTAGCTACGCAGTCAACAGACATCAACCATGCCGGAAACCCCGCGATTTCCTGATCAGGCATTGCGAAACCTGGCGGCCTTGCTAGGTGTGATAAGGTGCCCTGCGCGGTGTAGTAAGGCATGATCAGGCCTCGTAAGGCCAAACTAGGTGACCTGGGCCAGACCGGTAGACATCCTCTCTGGAGGCTGTATAACGGGTGGGGCAGGGTGGTGAGAGTCGGCGCGCACGCGGAGGCCGCGGTCGCAGCGTCCTGGGAGTCGCGGGAGGGCATGAATCGTCAGTGAACGTGCATACAGCGACACGAGTAGTTCACCATTATATCATTTGCACTGAACCCTGTGATACTGGTGTCATAAAGTGGATCATTTAGTATGCTAGACCGCGAGTGCGTAGGTACATATCGCAGTCAAGAAAGTCGGGTATGTAGATTCCTTGCCTTCGGTGACTCGCACGATAGTCACAATTCGTCTCGCAGTTATATCCGTCGTTACTGAGGCATGGATTGCGGCAAATAGCATGGTCTATATACAGTACTCATAGTAGTATGTTTGGACTTTTGTAGAGCAGGCCCGAGTGATTGTACAGTACTGCGCTGTCGGCGAGCGGGGAGACGTTGACCGCCCGCCAG